TCTCTCTCTCTCTCGCTCTCTCTCTCTCTCTCTCTCTCTCTCTCTCTCTCTCTCTCTCTCTCTCTCTCTCTCTCTCTCTCTCTCTTTCTCTTTCTCTTTCTCTTTCTCTTTCCCTCTCTCCCTGTGTAAAAGTCGTCCCCGTCTGGCCCCGGGTAATAACAGACATCGCTGCACATGTTGGCTGCACCGAGCGAGAAGCAAAAGATGCCTGTGACCTTTCCTCTGCTGACAGCGGCACTTTGCAAGGCCGAGTGTGTTTGAAGGAGAGATTTAGGGTGTGTCTGGGAGCGTGCATGTGAGCCGAAGTCTGTCGTGTGTGTGTGTGTGTGTAATTGCTTCATGTCATAGAGTTTTGCACAGACAAGGGCATCAACATTCCTGTGGAAAGTCCATGGCGATGAGCAGTATAGTGGTTGGCATAAAGCTTTTGGACAAAAAACAAAACATGCATAGCTCATGCTTTTCAGGGTTGAGGTTTGCAAATGGCAAAACACACACACACACACACACACACACACACACACACACACACACACACACACACACACACACACACACACACACACACACACACACACACACACACACACACACACACACACACACACACACACACACACACCTGAGAAAATGCTGCCCTGTGAGTCAGACACACTCTCATCCTGTAATGATGATGAGTGAGAGGTTGTTTATTTGTCAGGTCGTCGGGACAAAAACAGTCGTGTCTGGCAGCATTGCAATTCCAACCACTGCTGCCTCAGCAGTTGGCCCACGGTTGCACTGTAACCTGCTCATGTGAGTCAGAGAGTGAGTGTGTGTGTGTGTGTGTGTGTGTTTATTAGTGTACTGTATGTGTGTGCAGTGTTTCCCCTAAGTTTAAAGCGTTGGGGGGGGACAAGCTGACATGCCGACACAGCGACACAAACACTTGAAGGAATCTTGGTGTTCATGTGTTACTTTTAATGGCAGCTGTCCTTTTCTATCAGAAAGGTATCCTTAAATGACTTCTTTCCCTGATTTTCAACTCTATCCACTATCCTATCCCTACAATAAAGGCACAAAAAGCCCAAAAATAAATCTTATAAAGGTGGGCGGGGGGGAGCTGTTTGGGGGGCCGCCCCCCTAATATAATGGTAGGGGAAACACTGGTGTGTGTGTGTATGGCTGTTGTAATTCCAGAAGAGTATCTAAGAGTTTCTTCAAATAAGTGAGAAAGCAGATGTTGTAAGGGGGGAAAAATTAGACAAGGGTGAAGTAAATCCACAGTCTAGTTTGCCATTTGCTAAAATTCACAGGACGTTTATTTACCTCAAGACTCACACTCAGACAGGGAAGCTTCTTTTTTCAACATACCGGTAATACGGCTGTGTTTCAGGTTTCTGTGAATATAAATGTAGGGAATCAAAAAAATAAATTTCCCCACCTGATTATCACAATTTTAAAGACCATGAAAAGATAAAGAAAAAATAATGTTTAATTAATTGTTTCCAATTAATTGATATGTGAAAATTGAACCTGAGGGCCACGTTTTGGGTTGATGGGGGCCGCATGTGGCCCCCGGGCTGCCAGTTGCCCACCCCTGCTATTGAGCTATCAAATGTGTTTCAACATTAATATATATATATATATAAACAAGCTAATACTAAAGTAAGATGTTGAATTGACTGCTAACATTCATCTTGTTTTACAGGATACAGTAGAAAAAAGATTCCTAGCTTGCGATAATGAAGTGGCTTAATGCTAGCGTTAGCTGTGGTCTGACCGTAGCTAACAAATATTCCTTGATAGAAAGATACAATAGAAGAGTGGTTTTAGCTAGGAAGCATAATTGTGGTCTGATTATAGCTTCAAAGTCATCAAAGAAGTTTTAACTTTAATAGTTATGTTAGCTAGGCAGTGGTAAAAACAAACTCCATGATAGTTTTTCAGAGGCTACGGCGGAAAATGGCGTTAGCTAAGAAGTGGAGAGCCGCTACTTAAAGCTGGTTCATAACAGGTTATGAAACAGACTATGTTGTTTTAGCTTGAAGTATGGCCCAGTGTCTCTCTTTATTTCTCTCTTTCGCACATTTACCTCTACGTTTATTTTATTTGCGACCTAGAAATCCACATGACAACCTGAGCGTGACATCAGAGGAAATTTGACGCCGTGTGAAATGTGGTGAATGGAAGCAGCAGGTGACGGTGCGTGTAAGGAAATCTCGAAATCGGCAAGATTACCTAATTTTACCAAGCTGCTCCAACCGTCATTTTCCTCCGAAGTGCTGTAGATGCATAGAGAGAAATGTGATTTAACATGTCTGCATCCGCATGTGTGTGCAACACTTTGCCAAAGGCTCCAGTGGCTCTGTGGAGAGAGAGGATTTAGAGCAGCATAGATCGACTCCCAATGACTGGAAGTTAAGATGAACAGGGCTGCCCTAGCCTAGACTGTGTGTGTGTGTGTGTGTGTGTGTGTGTGTATTTATAGCATTACTCGCTGAACTCTACCCTGCCCTGTAATAGGCTTTGTGGTTTTTTTCTATCATCCCCACTCTGATCCGGAGCCTGATCTATGCTAACATGTCACACTGACTTCATCTCCGGTTTTGACCTCTCACACACACAGAAAAACTCCCCTCCTCCCTCATTCAGACTTTTTCACTGCACACTCATGCCGTTAATGAAGAAACAAAACATGAAACTGTGCAAGCTCAGCTTTATTATTAGGTCTGAGGGACATTTGGTTTGCAGTCATGCATTAAAAGACGGATTACTGCAGCAAAAATGCAAATCAGCTGTTGTATGAATGCACAGAATATCATTTTGTATTTCACTTAATGCCTGCAAAACTAATGCCAATCACACCAGCCTACTGTTCTTTTATTTAGTGCTGATAAGTGATTGATAGCATGCCAACAAGCTAAACTCACATGGCCTGTTTATCGGGAAGTACATTGCATTAAGGGAAAAAAATTGTCATGAGCATGTAAGCAGGCTGATTTAGCATCAAGCTTGATTTGAGGGTTCAACTTGCCCCAGCTGTATTCTACTCATGGAGTAATAAACACTTTTAACATTTTACATACAGAAAATATTCTAAGAACATAACTCTATGTACACATTTTAGTTTATGTTTCTATGGCTCAATCACAAAGCTTTTAGGGTTTTGATTTTATACTGCGGTTTTAATTAGGTGGGTAATAGTTTTCCAACAATCGTCTTAATAATTTGCTTTCTCTTACACACTGATCTCTCCAAAGTGGCTAAGCTGATTTTTGCCTTTCAAACTGCCTTTGACTCGTCCATCTCCTTTTATCTTTTACAACTTTACCTTCACTCAGAATTGTAATGGACAAAGGGTCGTAACAAATGAAGGATGACATAGAACTGCTATGGATTGCAGTGAGTTTTAATAGCTTTAATACCGACCCGTACTTTAAAGTTAATATATTGGCACATGAACAAAAATGTAACCGACTATTTGAAACGATTAAAGGGTTATTAAAATAACTGATGACCATAATCACAGCTGTAAACAGGCTTATCGTTGTTCTAGTGATCTTAGTGATCATGTTTAAGAAAGATAATTCATTATGTCATAATGAAGTGTTAAACAGATAAAGTCTTTAAACACATAATGTAATGAAAGTAACAGACGAACACTTTAATAGTATCTAATGCCGGCAATGACTCACATACAAAACTGGACTTTCTCTCTGCAATCACATCACATGCAATATTCACACACGCACACACAAACTAACACACACACACAAACTAACACACACATACAAACTAACACACACGCAGACAAACTAACACACACACAAATTAACACACACACACAAACTAACACACTAACACAAACTAACACACAAACTAACACACACACACAAACTAACACACACACAAATTAACACACACATACAAACTAACACACACGCAGACAAGCTAACACACACACACACAAACTAACAAATGCGCACACACACACACACACACAAACTAACACACACACACAAACTAACACACACACAAATTAACACACACATACAAACTAACACACACACAAATTAACACACACATACAAACTAACACACACGCAGACAAGCTAACACACACACACAAACTAACAAATGCGCACACACACACACACACACACACACACAAACTAACACACACACACAAATTAACACACACAAACTAACACACACACACACACACACACACACACACACAAACTAACACACACACACAAACTAACACACACACAAATTAACACACACACACACACGCAGACTTACAGACACCTCTGACTTCTTCCCTTTGCACATTCTGCCGTAGTGTTCAGTGCTCATCTGCTGCTTGTGAACGTTTCTTTTGGAAGTCAAACTACTTGCCAACCAAATATACACTAACATACAGACTGAGAAGGGGGGTGGCGGGAGGGCATGCCACGTCACCATGTAACCATACCAGACGGAGCCATTGCCATGACAGCCGGTTGGGCACAGACGCAGCGAAAACAATTAAAGAAACCCGACTGACCTGCTCATGTTTCATGGACACTTTCCAAAAGCAGATGTTTATTTAACTCAACAGCATGACATAGTTTAATTTTAATCACTTGACACGGTGTTAACTGATGAGTGATTTATCTTTTAATGTTTTCTTTTTGGTTATGAATACAATGCCTGTTCTGTTCGATGTGGGAAGGTGCTCTGTTATAAAGCTCCTGTGAGGAGGTTTCTGATGGTTATGAAACAGACTGAAATTAATACTGATGACTCTCTTTGACCTACAAAAGCAAACAAAAAAAAAAAAACAAAAAAGTTGAATACTTCCATTTTGTTATTTTTGATGCAAGTGCTTTTTTGTCAGATTTTTGGTTAAAAAAGTTATTTTCCTGAGCTTCATTTCTATTTGTGTAAAAAGAGTTGATAGCTGTCATTTTTAAAATATTTTTCTGTGAAACAAAATACGAGTTGTTTTGTGCTTATCTCTATGTTTGGATCCAGGTGCAGCATCGTGTGACGGGTCAGGTGATGGCTCTGAAGATGAACATCCTGGCCAGTAACAGAGCCAACATGCTGAAAGAGGTCCAGCTCATGAACCGACTGTCACATCCAAACATACTCAGGTAAAAACACTTCAATTTGTATCCACTCAACCTGCATCCTTTTTGATATGAAACTTCGGCACTGACTGGATCTCGTTTGTCTGGTCCCCGTGCGAAACCTTGACTTGTTATGAAATGTAATCCTCTGTTGTTGTGTGTTTGTGCTCCGCCTGCAGGTTTATAGGAGTGTGTGTCCATGAGGGGCAGCTTCACGCTCTCACAGAGGTAAGACCCCACTTAACCTGATGCTCAAATGAAAAGTTCAAAGAGATGTTTTAAGAACCACACTTAATGACAGCACAAGTGTCAAATCAGTCAAATTAAAGTCGCCCACCGTAGCCTCGCCATCTTGGTTTGTTTTTTTTAGGACGCAAGTTTTTCTGAGACAAACTAAATGAGTCCTTCAGTAGCAGTATGAAAACGCTGTGAACTGATCAGTGGAAAAGACTATAAGAAGAGAACATTAAACATTCACTGATGAGTGAGACATCCTGATCCCTGTTTCCCAGAACAATAAGTGAAGCATCTTTCAAATCAACAACCAAGCGATTTCAGCGTGTTAAACTCATTGAGCGTCATTTTGTGTGTCTATGTGTAATTATTAACTCCTTCCTATTGTCACTCCTCCTGATGTTTCAGTACATCAACGGCGGGAACCTGGAGCAGCTGTTGGGCAGTGACATGTATCTGTCGTGGAGCGTTCGGCTCAGTCTCGCTCTGGACATCGCCCGAGGTCTGCAGTACCTGCACAGCAAGGGCATCTTCCACAGGGACCTCACCTCCAAGGTAACCACACACACACACACACACACACACACACAGACACACACACACACACACCGGTGTACAGGACAGCACACACATCAGTAAACAGGAGCACATACTGATACTCCTCAGGGATTTCTCCACTCAATTAATACAATTTCTGTTCATAAGATTTTGAAGCACACAATAGTGAACGGGTATTTGCTGTGACATGAACCCACCAACCCAACATGGGGTTAACTGCTTCTCTTTAAAGTACATTTTAGAAACAGTAAAAAGCTCTTAAACACATTTAAGACCTTGCAGATGCATCACAGGTCGTCCAACTACATCTGGTTATAAAAGTATTACAAAATCTCTTTCAAGCAACAATCTGTAACTCTCCCACCTTTAAACAGTAGCTTCAAAGGATGATCTAGTACTACACTAACTTTCCGAGACCGGTGTCTCTCCCATGTCTACAGAGCACCCCAGTCACCTATTTACTGCACTATGTAACTTTGGCAGCAGCCTTCAGCTACAAAGCAGCCAGTTAGCCCGCCTCTGCACTGTTTGATACAATTACTGAGGCTAAGAGACGGAAGAGGACGCCGAGCTGACTTTGCTCGAATGTGTTAAAAAGTTGATGTTTAATGCTCTTAGTTTGGAATAAGTTTTAAAGGTGGAGTACAATGTTGTTTAAAACCTCATATGGCTCTTATACTCTGTTGTAGGAGAAACATGAGACAACTCTTATAAAGTCCAGTGACAAAGTATTTATTCCTCTTTATATCAAATAGAGGACACTGTGTTCACCCTCCTGCACGTTTTTAAAGGGAAATAGTGACACGCTGGAAATGATTTGCCTATTATCAAAATGATCTATGGAAATATTGTACTAGAGTGCTATTATAGCTACTACAGAGCTAGCATGTTGAGATGTCTCTTCAGAAGGAAAATGTCAGAAAAATCAACCACTAATGTTCATTTGGGATTAGATTGCATGGATTTAAGGTCTGGAACTATCAGCAGATTGTTGCTCCAGGGCTGAAAATGTATGACGTCACTTGGAAAACTTTTGTAGTAAGTAAAAGCAAAGCTTCACAGTTAACTCTTACATCACTGACGTAGAGAAGCGTATTGTAAGGAATGTTCTCACACACACTCACACACACACACACACTTAACAGCAGTAAACAGTAAACTTGATGTGTGTGACCTTTGACCCCTGTTTGCAGAACTGCCTGGTGCGCTGGGAGGGCTGCGTGTGCTCGGGCGTGGTGGGAGACTTCGGCCTGGCTGAGAAAATCCCAGATTACAGGTCAGTCCGTAACAGTCCATTCATCGAACCTTCTATCAAAACAGTGTGATAAGATAAATCACCCTCAATAAATCACATTCCTGCACTTCTCTTTTATTTATCTTCATGTCGTATCTGCGTGAGCAAAGTGTCCACAAATGTCTCCCACAGCCTCAGTCGAGACGCTCACAGGGACAGACATTACTCACACCAAACCCCACTCAAGTTTTTCCGACGTGTTCACACACTTTGGGGAATGATTATTAATATCACTTTAAAGTCAGGGGGAGGTTTGGTGGCTGTGTGTTGGACTCGCTGCTCTGTGGCTTCGGTCTCATTGTGTTTGCAGCTGTGTGTGTTTAATATGCAGTGACATTTATGTGGCACTTACCACCATCAATTTACTGCAGCCCTGCACAGACCATAAAGACGCAGAAAAAGTTACAGCAATGAGTTTTATTTCCTTCGGCTGTTTCTCCAGTAATTACATCACATCTGTTAGATGAACAAATTCCTGTAATAATAGCAAATCGAGGACAGAGTGCCAAGCCTGAGAAGGTAAAGTGAGGAATTAAACGCATAACTCGAGTTAAAGATGGCTGTAAAACATACCCATATATAATACATACTGTAAAGGTCACATATTATTATCCTTTTTAACAAGTTTAAATAAGTCTCAGAGCTCCCCAAAACATGTTTCTTGCTAAAAAATCCACTCTGATCCTGTATTTGATCATGCCTATAAACCCCTCTATTTCAGCCCTGCTCAGAACAGGCTGTTTTTGTGTCTGTACCTTTAAATGCAGATGAGCTGTGTCTGACCACGCCCCCTCTCTGGAAGGGGATGTAGCCTAGGCCTTTTTTCCACCATGTCCGATTGTTTATGGTGAGAAGGTAGACTCAGAGGTCAGAACAAACACCTAGCTGTGGGAGTGTCACTCACCTGGGGGAGGGGTTACTGCCCTTTGTGATGTCACAAGGGGAAAATCTCGAAACGGCCTGTATATGGCACAGATAAATGACAATATGATAGCAATCTTTACTTGTTATTACTTAAATGTTATTATAGAACAGGTGTTGGTTTAAGGAAATCTTTTTTTTTCAATATTCATAAACAAATATAAGAAATTAAAACTTGGAATTCCCAACTCCTTCAGTGCTCTTTGTTGAAAGTCTTTTAGCTTTTTTTATTGTCTAAAAATGTAGACACACGCACTCACTCGCTCATGTACGTCCCATTAGCTGCTCGTCTAGTGGAAGCATGCTATCTATTCTGCACTCATGTAGTAAACACACGAGTCTCTCTGAGACGACGCAGCTGCCACTGTAACCCAGCCTGCCCTTTTTTTTTCTGATGCGAGTGTGGGTTTCCTTTGCCCCTCTTTGCGTCAGTCACCTCTTGTGTTTACACAAGTGCGTGTGTCATTTTCAGGAGTGGGAAACTTGTATCTCCAACTACACTTGGTTCTGGCTTTTGGAAGCGTGTCAAAATTAAAGAAAGTGAGGAAGAAATGCAGGTTACATCGTCTAGACAGAAGATAGGATTTCAATATTTGTCTTTATGTGTCTGTCATTGTGTACTTTATTAATTCCTGCCTCTATTAAACACAGTATCGTCTGTTTGCTCGACGCTCTTTTTTAAATAGCAGCTGTTGAGCTGTCACATTCAAGGGCATGTTTGCTTTTCTATTGAATTCAAACACTGTCGTCTCTTATAACAATAAGTGATATTGACAACCCTTCTTCAGCGTGTGTTTGTGTTGGAGGGACACTGTTGTGGTTGTGGCATGAAGGAAAGGAAGAGAAGAGATGAGGGGGGGGGGAGGTTTAGGAAAGAGCTCCAAATAAGGTCAAACTATTCCACTCGTTCCTCCTGTATTCGCTCTCGCAGGATCTCTCCCGTCCTTTACGTCCTCATCTCTTTTTGTGTCGCTTTAACTTTTTTCTGTTTATTTTTTCCCAGCATTCCTTTCTGCACACGCTCGGTTTACTCGTCTCTGTCATTTCAGTTTTTCAAATACTGTTTACGTGTGGAGACTCGGACCGTCTCTCGTCCCTCCTTTCTCTCTCTCTCCTGCAGCCTCTTCCTCTGCTGTGTTTTTGCAGCATCATGGCCCACAGTAGCAGATGGAAATAGCACAGAGAGGAAGTGTCTGACAGCAGGGTGTATGTTATTGTGTGTGCGTGTGTGTGTGCATGTGCATGTGTATGAGTGTGTGTGTGGCCTTAAAAAAAAAAAAAAAGGAAGGAACACTTGAATGTTAAATATTTCCCAATATCTGCGCACAACTGAAAAACACTGCGGTGTCTTGGACACAGAGGATGTGTGTACAAACATTAAACCTCTGAATAGGTTCTGTGTTTTTGAGATGGAGCGGGATGTCGGTTTGTTTCACAATCTTTGTGCAACTTGTTTATCTGCGATGATCGTTTTGTGCAGGTCTACTAAATGGAGAATGTGTTTTCTTCGTTTCTCATGCAGGACTGAGTGGACTTTGTGAAGTCTGAATTTGTTTTCTTATTTTCTTTTGTGCACTGATTTAGTTGTAACTGTTGACCTTGAGTCTTTGTATTTGTTGTGTTTTTTGTTGTTGTTTTTTTTCTAAATAATATTGCCTTAACAACTATGTAAAGCTACTACACTTAAAGCGTAAGGTGACATTGACACGCTGGGTTTCTCAAAGGAATCAGGCAAAAATATCTTCAATAAACGTTCACTTTAGTAAGGCTGCAACGATCGATACACCGCTAATTGTTTTGTATTGTCCAAAACCGAAATACTCTTCATGCTTATAAACGACAGAGAAAAGCATCGAACCACAAAAAAGAACAAAAAGAAGAAGTAGACGTTCTTTATTAATCCTTCAGGGGAAATTTGTTATTGATCTTGATACATACACATAAAGGAATAACACACATGCACAAACAGGATCCTATGGACATGCTCAGATGTTCTTCTTGACATATGGACAAGAAGTTGGGGGGGTCAGTGCCTTGCTCAAGAGCACCTCTGCAGAGCTCGAGAAGTGAACTGGCACCTCTCCACTAGACCCATTTTCCAGTCTTTCGGTTTCAACATACTGAGAGAAAAACCATCACATTTCAGAAGGCCGTGGGTTTGAATCCGACCTCTGCCCTTTGCTGTATGTCATCCTGTCTCTCTACAGCTGTCCTGTCTGATAAAGGAAACAAGGCCCAACAATTTACATAACAAAAAAAGATCATTTGAAAACTCAGATTTTAGGAAACCTTTTTAAATTATCGCAGCGCTGTTGTCACATTTTCTAAAAACTTGATTCTTTATATTTATTTTAAGTCACACATGAGCATTATTCTGACTCTCTGAAGGTTTAAACTTTGTTGAGGCGTTGTAGTTTTCAGAACAGAAAATAAAGCTAACCTTTCTTCCCTCCATCCTTCTCTCTCTACGCAGTGAGGAAGAGGATCAGGAACCTCTGGCTGTGGTCGGCTCCCCCTACTGGATGGCCCCGGAGGTGCTGAGAGGAGAGCTTTATAATGAGAAGGTAGTGACGGAGCGTCTTCCTCATTAGCCTTCAGCTGCAAGAGTTCAAGGTCCAGTGTGGGTGTGATGAAAGCAAATAAAACCAGAGACCTGTCAGTGAAGTGAAGCAATAAATATTGAATAGATCCGTTATGTGGAAGGCAAACAGGAATGTAGTTATGTAAGCGGTCAAATTGACGACCTTTTGTTGCTGCTGTTTTTCCTGTACAGCTAAGCGGGAATCATGATGGCCTGTTTGGGTTTCATTTTGGACATGATGATTATATTTGAGAGGTTCTGCAGACTGTCTGGACCCAGAAGAAACTACAGATTAGTAGAAACAAGATCCAGCAGGCTATATGGATTAGACTGAGAAGTCTTAACATAGTGCAAATTAGATAGTCCTTTATTGATCCCCGGTGAGGACATTTAGGTGCAGCAGGAAAGAGACAAGAAGAAGACCATGCATACGAGTACAACTAGATGGGAATAAAATAAAAATACAATGCATTTACAACTATTGCATAGTAAGAATAAAATAAACTATACACCCATTAACTGCCAAACAAGAATTATACAGAACATTCAGACATGATGTGCAATAAGTGGCAAGTTGAAGTGACCGGGTATGAGATAAAGTGAGACAAAAGAACATAGCATACATCAGAGATGCAGATATTCCTATCTACAATTAAATACCTGCATTACTTGGATCACTTTTAAAATAGTGATCTGCAAGCTAAATTAAAGAGTAAATAAAATGATATTTTTTACAGTTGATTTTAGTCAAGGGAGCTCAATAAAATGTGTAATGAGGTTTGGTTAAAGGACAGCCAATTAACCCTGTTACCATAGCAATGAAAATCTGATCCATGATAAAAGCACATAGATTAAAGATGTATGATAAATTAAATATATGTAATGGTGATAGTTTTCTACCTGTTTGGACTTCACGTCTGTGTGTACTCTCTCTCTGATCCACACTTCTTTCTTCTGCAGGTGGACGTGTTTGCATACGGGATCATCCTGTGTGAGACTATAGCGAGGATACAGGCTGACCCCGACATCCTGCCACGCACTGAGGTACAGACGACAATGTTTTCATCAGATAATCATCACCCCGTGCATGTCTCATCTCAGGCCTCTTTATCATAGTAGTGCCTGCACACCATGTTTTATAATAAAGGCATTAGTGGTGATAAGAAGTCTTTGTAGGAGTGTTTCTGATCTGCTGCCAAAAGTGTTTCAGTATTTCATAAGAACCTCCAGCACATGACGGTTGTGCAAGCAGAGATGTCAAAATCACTTTAAGCAACTGTTTCACCACAACCTGAATGATTTTGAAAATATATTAAAAAAAAAAGAAGGAATAACTACTGTTCAGATGTTGCTGCTTATTTTCAGTTTGGACAAACAGGAAACTTGATTTCCTATTAAATGGGAAATTGTAGCGTCTCAAAAAAGTTCCTGCAAAATGGCTCGATTAAAAATGACAAAATTCATGTATTACCTTTTTTAAGATGTGTGGCTCAAACGCTCAAATTAAAGCCAATCCCAATTGAAGGTCCCAGTCTCTTTTTAGTAGCCTCATTTTTTGAAAAATAGAGGCATCGCTCAACTAGAGGCCCAGATGCATTTAGTGATGAGTCTCCTGCTCGTCAGAGATGGATGTAAATCAACCAATTCCACATTCTGGTTTTTATGTGTTCTGTGTATTTAAAGTGTGAAAACAAAGGATATTCAAATGGTAGTATAGGCATTGAAAAAGCTTTATTTTTGTAGAGGTGCAGGACTCCCACAATGCAATGCATCGACCAAATATATTATAAAAATCTTGGAATTAAAAAAAACATCTTACACTCTTTGTGCAATGGCATCTAAACTTTGCACTTTGACTTGTTTTTTTTTTTTTTTTTTTTAATTCTGGCATCTTCCCAAGTTTGCAAAAACACAAAATGAAACACTCATATTTCACACAATTAGTATGCAATGTGGATGTAGGACACAGTATCATTATGAGGTTTAAAAAAGGTGCACTTCTCCCCCTTGTGGCCGTTTAACAGTACAGCAGCTGCTGCTCTGTCTCCTGTAACTAGGTCACATTATCATAGAGGAGATGATGGTGGAAGGGGTAGTTTTGCACGGCTCTTTAAAACTCTCTCAAAACATCCAATGAATAATCATTTTGTGCTGTTTTTCTTCTTCAGGACTTTGGTCTGGATGTGGAGGCCTTTCAGCAGATGGTGGGCGACTGTCCGTCAGACTTCCTGGAACTTGCCGTCTCCTGCTGTAATGTAAGAAACATCTCGGCCTCCTGTCTTCACTGCAGTAATTAGCACGATCTGTTTAATCGTTAATGTTGTTTTCTCTCTTTGACCAGATGAGTGCGAAGCTCCGTCCATCCTTCTCCCAAATCGTGTTAGAGCTGGAGAGGAGGCAGGCTGACAGGAAACAGAAGGATGAGCCATCAGTCAAAGGTGAGTCATCATCAGATGCTTTATAGACAACAAACAGTAAATTATGTAGGCCCTCTGTACTAACACTTTCAACGTTCCCATGTCTCTTTTAAGCTGTTTGTCCTGCTATTGGACCCCTACGACGGCGATCCCTTGGCCTCCCGTCTGACCCTCGCCTCTCCCGCAGCAAATCCGACATGCTCCACCCCCAAGACACGCCCCCCTCTGTTAAAATGGCAACCCCGGCCCGGGTCAACCCCTTCTCTCTGAGGGAGGACCTTAAAGGCGGCAAGATCAAGCTGTTCGACACGCCCAGCAAGTCGGTCATCTCCCTCACCTTCACCCTGCCGCCTCCGCCGGACTGCGACGACCCCCGCTGCGTCGGAGACCGAGGGTGTGGAACAACCGAGGAGGCACAGGCGCTGCCACTCACTCCCCTGCACGCCTCCTCCGTACCTCACGTCGGCGCCGAACACCGTCCTCATGGAGGAGGAGTCCCAGTCCGAGATGGATTCGGTAGATGTTGAAACGAATGGAGTCAGTGAAGATGAGAGACTGTTGGAAGAAGAGAAGGAGATTTTGGACGGGAGTGGAACTAATCTTGGGGGTGACTCGGGTCTTCCTCTCTCACTGAACCAAGAGGAGGAGGAGGAGGAGGAGGAGGAGGAAGAGGAAGAAGAGGAGGAGGAGGAGGAGGAGGAGGAGGAGGAGCCAATGGACTGCACCAGCTCCCCAGAAGCACAAGACAGCACTTCATCTCCTTGCTCCAAACTTTCCCCCCCTCCTTCCCATTCTTCGACTCCTAATCAACCCACCGAGCCGCCATTCTCGAACGGGTGGGGCTCTGCTATTTCAAACGGGCCCCCGTGCCTGCCCCCCCTCTCCAACTTGGTTAACAACAATGTGGTTGTGAGTCGACCTTTGGGATGGAGCGCCGGCAACACAACGAGCAGTCCAACCTCGACCAACAACAACGGTTACCACTCCCCTGCCAGTGACCCGGCCGGCTTGTCCCCGTTCGGCTCCGGCAGCGGACACTCTCTGGACCAGGAGGAGGTCATATCGTGTCCCGGGTGCTGCCTCGCCGGACTTCGTTTCCCTTCGATGTGTCTCAGAGCCCCGCCGCGCAGAAATCCCTACAAGAACTTGAACGGGGACCACGCGGCCTCACGTGGGCTGCTTGGTCCGGGACCCAAAGGACTTCCCCCTTCCCCTACACCCACTACAACCACCACCAGCCTGGAGCCGGGACTCGCTTTGCCAGGGGCGCAAACATAAACTGTAAAGTGTGGAAGCTCTGCATCAAAAGCTCCTTCATGGAAATTAAGTGGGCCTCCTTATAATTTGCACAGATTTTAACGCAGCAATACCCTGCTTATTTTCTCGACAAGGTTTTTTGGTGCAGGTGAGGCTCTAGGTTTCAAGATCTGGAGCCTGAACACACTCTCCAGGTTGAAAACTGTGGGACAAGAAACTGGTATCACGTTGCACTTCGCCCTCTGCTGGGCTGAGGGTGGAAAAAACTCCAGATATCAGCAGAGCCTGCGTTGATCCGACTGATTGGCAGCATCCAGAACTGTACGGCATGTGAACACTCCAGTTTGGGGCCCCAGTTAGTTTTGTGTGTGTATATTTGCAGATGTAAAGATTCTTATGACTGATGATATCGATGATCATGATGCTGAAAAGAGGAATGTTGAGCTTAGTATTATAACTGCTGCGATTACTTTTCATGTTTTGGTGCTGTTTTTGAATGAGCAGGCAGTTTGGCTTTAATGTATTTGATTATCAAGAGGTGTATGGTGCACTGCTGGGATGTGTGTGTGTGTGTGTGTGCGCGTGTGTGTGTGTGTGTAAGAGAGAGTAACAGTATGTGTGCAGTACACCGTTCTTTTGTGGCTGTATGATCTCTATTGGCCTGTTTAAGCACTTCAGCGTTATTACTGTTGTTAATAAGGAAAATATAATATTGATGTCATAATTACTTTTGTGAATGAATGGTCAAAGACCTGCTTAAGAGATGTACAGATTCTTATTATTTAAAGATGACATTGAATAAAAAGACAGAATGAAGTGACGTCCTCCTGACATGCATCTGCTTTTTTAGCCATAGCATTTATCTATGGTCAACTAGGGTCAAGTAAAATAGACTCTCAACTGGATTTTCCTATTATCTAACAGAAATGTGTATTATAACACTATTTTTTATTAATACATGTTTTTTTGTTTTTTTTAGGTATTTGGTCATAAAGTATTTTTTTTTTACAAACAAGTGATACTCAATCAGCTTTCGCTGCACTTGAAGCTCATTATCAAATTCAATTTTATTTGTATAGCACAACTCATACAAATGTTAACTCAATGTGCTTTACAGAAGACACAAATAAAAAAAAACACAATATAAACGCATTAAAGATGGAACAAATAGATTCAAAATCACATTTTAAATCCACAACACATTCATAAAATGACCCTGCACTATCCCATACAACACATGTATGCATGCTTATGAATAAAATAATGGTCGGTGTGGTAAACATAATACCACTTGAGCATAAACATGTAGGCATGTTGGATATAACTTTCAATAAAACACCCTAGCACAGCATTTAACAAAAATGGAAAGTATAGTGAACTAGTCATCAAAACGTTAGTATTGTTGGCTAGCATTTTGACATTATTTAGCCTGGCAGCATACACGACCATCCTCACAGCTGATATGCTAACAACAATTTAAAAAAAGGGTAAAAAAAAGTGTTTGCATAGTCATAGTTAGCCTGCTAGCATGTTGAAGTGAACATTTAGCTAAGTAAATTACATCAAACTAAATACACTCACAAGCAGATTAGCTCAACAAAAAAATGAATTGACCAGACCGGCATATGCCACTCGTGCCCATATGCAGAATATGCGACAGCACATAAATTCCCCGAACTGGCATATGCCGTGGCACTTGAGTGGACCAGACCGGCATAGGCCCCAGCATGTGCCACTTATGCGGCATATGCCGGGGCACATGAATTGACCAGGATGGCATATGCCACTCATGCGTGGCATATAGCACTCGTGGCATATGCTGTGGCACATGAATTCACCAGACAGGCATATACCATATACTGTACAAATATCAACTGAACTTCAACCATCCTTAAACAGATTTTTTTTAAACAACAATCTACTATGAACAATATTTACAGCTTTATCTATAACCAGGATACATATGATACAATAAAATCGCTATATTATGAAAACATTGCACATTATTATTCGGGCCCTAGCACCGACTTTGGAGCGAGGACCCTATTGAAACTGAAGGAGTTATTATTCTCCCTTGCCACAATGAATCGCTTATTTGGGGGTTTTAAAGTGCACGAAAACTCAACAAAACCAAGATTGTACCTCAAAGGGGCGTGGCCGCGACATACTGTCAAACTTTGATGTCAAAGGTTTTAGGTGCAGGATCATGGTGAAAACTGGAAGTTAGAAAAAGAAAATTAGATGGAGGAGCTTGTGAATGAAGTGAAGGTCAAAAAGCACATATCGGTAGTTTACTGCTTCAGGTGGGTCACAAACATAAGAAAAATCAGAGAATGACACCACGTTGCTGTGTGAACCGCCAGGTCAGAACAACATCCAAAAAGCTGTGTGTGTGAAAATGTAAAATCAAATTTCTTAGTTTTTGTTTTTTTTCTCTAGTACAAAGTTATCAAGCAGAAATATCTCAAAACTTTGTCACTTTGACAAAACAATACATAAAAAAAGACAGATGGGACAGAATAAATAGAGTAATATTGATGAAACATGTTCAAATATCAAGCATGGTACCCTCAGTGCTGAATGACTTTACAATTATGATCAAATTGAATTTTTCCAGATAGTTTGAGTCTGAACAGAAAAAACTAAAGCGTCTAGTTGACGTCTTTTTTTGATGAAGAAACAAATGAATAGCTGCTTCCTTCAGTCTCAGTCTAAAAATCTTGTCCTTTAAGTAGATTACAGCCTTTCCTCTCTCTTACAAAAACACTGGTCTTCAATTAAATCCTTATCCCTCCACCCCTTCCATGCTCCTGCCGGCAGCACTCTGTCCTTCTCCCCTGCAGATTACTCCATCTCAGTGCCTCTCCACAGGTGCATTATCCCTGCTTTAAAAGGGAGCCATTCACCTCTTGTACAGGCTGAAGCTAAGACCATCACAGTCTTGCTCATTTGATGAAGAGGTCACAAAGTCGCCATGAAGACTCAAGGGGTAGCCACAGATTGGCTGAGAGCATTCATGGGATTATATGTCACCGTTGCCCTGCTCTTGAAAGGTGAGTACTGAACATAATCTCCAGTTAATGATTTTTATTGCCGTTTCTCGTGTTACAGCCATTCGGTCCTCTTGCACAGGTTAACAATGTTGTGACATCAGGACTTAAGGCATCAATGAGCACCTGTGTGATTGTGCTATTTCTGTGTTTGGGTTTCGTGCGAACTTCCCAGGGTCGTCTGGGTTAGTCTGTTACACTTCAGTGGAATCACTGGATTTAGGCTGCCTCCTGCGGTGGGATTGTCCTCATGCCAGTCCTAATACCACCTATACCGTGCAGACAAAGACTCAGGGGTAAGTACTTCTGCTTGTGTGTGTGTGTGTGTGTGTGTGTGTGTGGATAAAGGAGAGACATTTCTGTAAGTTTACACAATTTGCAAATTGTACTTGTACTTGTGAAGGAAGAACAAACGCAAGACAATTTATCCATTTCTGAACGTAAAACCTCTACTCTTATATTCCCTCATTTAAATTATAACAATTGTATCATAGCACTATTTATTTAAGTCAATGTATTTCTTGTGTTAGTTGTGCACATTAACGCTAAATTAGTACGTACATGAACTCAAGCATTGTGCTAAAGATTTCCAGCACCTTTACATTTTACTGGATTATTCTTTATAATTCTGCGCCACTCGTTTCAGAGGGACTAGTGCACTCTGTAATACACAAGTTTAGGGTTAATAAGTATTCTACAGATTGGGATACATTTAGTAGTATAGAGTATGATTAACAAATATAATATGAATAGACATAAAGGAAGATTTAAACTTGGGGAAGTTTGCAAACTAGCATAAGGCCCACTTTTACCATGTGCAACAAAATGGATAAATAATACTTTATTCTATGATATAGAATACTGTACCTTACATTAGAATTGGAAATCCTGCATAACGAGAAGGCTACTTATAATGTAGGTATTTGTGGTATATTTGAAATCTTCAACATTTTTCAAATAAGTAAAGATTTTGAAAACACTTTTAAGCACCCTCAAAAACATTCAAATAGGAAGAAAATATTTTACTCATAGCTTTTTGCTTTTCCTTAATGAAGGCTTTAAATAGCTTTCCTCAAACTTTTCCTCGTGCACATGTTCACACATAATGTGTACCAGCACTCTTCTGTATCCTTTCTTTTGCAGGGACCCCTGGCAGGACGTACCATGGTGCGTTTGGGTTTCATCTCGCAGCTGTGACATCTCTCAGGCCTTCTCAAACTTTGAGCTGTACAACATGATCCGTCTCGGCGTTCACCTCGACCCGAGCTCCACTGTCTGGATCGAGCCACGCAAGTTTGACTACAGTGACTTCAGTCAGTTGTACTTTCAGTTTCAGTCATACATCTTAAAAAAACTGTACAGAGAGAAGTTGCAGGTTGGTGTCGGAAAGGCTCAATTGGGGGGGCTGATTGGTTAGTTTTCCAATCTCTCGCTTCCTGATTTCCGTCTCTCCAATAAAGGCACCAATTAGGAAGACAGATGGTATTTTAGACTCAAGATAAATATGCTTACAGCAAGTGGATGTTTTTTTTCTGTCACGGGATTATCACACAGTTCTGACACTCACACTATGACTAATAATGTGCTTTAATGTTTAATAAATCACCATGTAGTTAATGTTGACCGTTGAGATAATTAACAGCTCCTCTCTCCTTCCCCCAAGACTACAGCCCTCCCTCTGTCTCAGTCTCCCTGAAAGACGAGCAGCTGTTGGTGAAGGTGCAGTTCCCCTGTGCCGCCAACAGGAGGTGCTCTTTGGAGAGATGCTGTCCCATCACTCAGCTGATTGACCCCTGGACCACAGTGACTGTGTACAACAACCTCAATCAGTCCCAGTACCAGGTCTCAAATACGTTTTGGTTGAGTTGATGTCATTGTGCTTAGGCTGAGGTGTAAAGAAACAAATAGTAATTTTCTTCCTGATCAAAAGAGCTGATATCTTACCCTGATGTGCACATTTAAAATCCACTTGTTGTGTCTTTAAATATTAGGTTTTGCACACAATTGCAGCCTTCAACCTAAGAATGATTAAGATATTTGATAGCTTTTTCCCCCTTCTTTGCATCATTGCTTTTTATTTTGTGTTCTTGCAGAGCCGTACGGTTTGGACCCAGGAAGCCGTGTCCTATGTAGAGTTTTCCGATTTGGCTCCAGGTCAGAACTACTGTGCTGTTGCCAACTTCTCCTTCCCGACGTTCTCCATGGCTGCTTCGCCCAAGTCTGCACCTCAGTGTGTTGTGACGCTTTCCAAAACAGGTGAGAGTCATTCTGAGTTTCTATAGACAATGTTGGTTGCATTTACACTCACTTTACTTCAGCAAACATACAAGAGAAAAACCCATTATCTTCTAACAGAATACTCTTTCAGTGATTACCAATGCATCAATTTACAAAATTTAACAAAAGATGGCAAGGAGACATATTTTCTGTTAAAAGTAAATAATGTTTAAAAAGTCATTTTCCAGTACAGTGGCTAATTTGATGTTAAGAAACTTTTAGGAATTGGAATTTTCCCTTTAATAGCTTGAAAAGTTAAAACCAAGCAGCCCACTTTCAATGGCTCCAAAGGGCAGAAGTGCATCTCCTTTTGGTGACTCAAATATTCTGCAGCTTTGTCTTGTTTACCCTGGGGTGTTAAGAAATGCAGCATTGCGTTGTATGCTTCACCGAGCAGTGAGTTTATTCAACCTGTATTTGTTCTTTCTTCTCAGGGCTGCTGCCTGTGCTGTGTGTGGGAATTGGGCTAACTTCTCTGCTCCTTGTGCCACTACTGACTTTGTTTTTAAGAAAACCCAATCAAGACGAACAAACCACTGAAAATCAACCCAAGACTCAGAATCAGGTATCACATTTCCTTAGAAAAATAATATACAGATAATTCCTCCTTTACAGAAAACTGAACCAACATTTGTTCTGTTAGGTGTCAGTACACGATCCAGTCTCTTTGGTTCCTTCTTCCCTGGATCCTGTCGACCCTTGTGACATCCACATTGGTTTTGTAGAGGACGAAATCTCCATTGATTCCTGTTCTAGTCTACAATGTGACCAGGACCAGACCTCAACCCTGAAAAACTCCTGTGATCCCAGACATCTTGCCTCGAGCCCCAGTGCAGCATACTGTGACAGCGGCGGGATGGAGCTGGACCAACGTCTGGACTCTGGTATCAGCATACCTCCTGTGTCTCAATCCTCTGAGGAGACATTTGGGACAATTGGAGAATGATACCTCAAGACTTTGAGCCGTATACCACATGGGCTGCTCTCTAAGGTTGGTGTCTATGTCCAGGATTCACCACATCACTGTGATGTACAGTGAACTTCTCAAAAGGTCTGGAGGATATCTTACCTTACTTTGAGAGAGGTGGAACATTCTGTGTCTCAACTCTGCTATAGATCACTTAAGAACATGAAGCAAGAGAAAGGACCTAAGATATTGGCATTTGCAATACAGTATCTTTATTCAGTCAATCAATCCATTTTTATCAATTTAGCAAGAAATCGCAACAAACAGGCAGAAACTTCAATCAATTAATGGACAGCCATCTGCCATGACTGACTCGACCAAGAAAGTGGGACAGAAGGAGGGACAGAAGGATGGACAGAAGGAGGGAAATGGATAGACACAAAGAGACAAGGAGACGAACAGATGACCACAAAAATAACAACAGATTACACTCTGGATTATCAACCAGACTGTGGAGTGGAGTGGTTTATTAATCTATTAAAATTGTCCCATCAGAACATATTTTGATCATAATTTTTGTGTAATTCCATTAAAGTGATGATAAGAACCGCAATTTCAGAGTGTTTGTCATTGGTGTTTATTGTTGCAAGGCAACACTCCAGTTTCCCATGCTAGTGACCATTAAGTCCTTAATAAATGTCATTTTATGTTTAATAATCTTTTATTAAAGAATTTTACATAGAAAACGTAAAATACATATGTAAAGGAATCATGGCCTAGCATAAGCAACAGCTCCAGACCTGGAAATTGTACTAAAAAAAAAAGAATAAGGATGCATGACATAAACTGTGAGGATTAGCTTCTCCTCCACTATTGTTGAGATGGTTGATAGCGGAAGTCCCGCCCCTTCTTGATTCTGATAGGCATAAAAATGGGCACTACTCCTAATTGACATCCAGAGGGAGCTCGGAATGAGTCCCTGAGGTACTCCAGGCAAAACCAACTTCGTCCAGCTTTAGGGTGACCAAGACCCAGATCTCAACAGAGGTCCCTCGAGTAAGGAAAGATAACGTTGCTGGAAAATGACACCTCTAAAATATCTTACTCAGCATGCTGCCACTGTGACCTGACCCAAGATAGAGGAGGAGAATAGAAAGATGAATGGAGCCATAAAGGTCACTAGACCAGAATGTTGTAAAGTGACTTTAAGCCCAGTGGAAGTAACCGCTTGCTTTGCCTAAATGTTTTTGATGAAAGGCGATGGATGCCTTCCTGCTATGAAAAGTATCTGATCTCTGACTTCATTTCTTGTGGACTTGGTTCATCAGTTGCCAGATGAAAGATCACCAGCAAAAAAAGATCATGACTCGAAGAAGTGATGGACATGTGGCTCCCAATTTTTAAAACATATAAGCACATTCCTCTGGCGATGACTGCTTGTCCAACATGAGTCAGACTGCTGCATGAAAAGGGTCAGATAATCGATGGTGAATGAACATCGCAAATGAAGCAGAAATTGTTTATTTTACGAGTCCAAAAGAAGCTGTTTATTTGTACCAATGATTCACAGAAAAATCTAAATGTGGTAGCGATTCTGCCCCCTGTGCCTCTTCTAAGCTGAGGTCCAGTGACTCTCAACGGTGACATCCAAAACCATGAGCTTTATAAACAAGCACGAGAACGAAAACGTCCACGCATGCAGCCATTCTTCATGCTGGTTTTACCCCCCAAAAAGTGATAACAGACTAGATTTTTCTACCATTCAATGCTCTGAATTGTTCTGACTCACAGTTACCCCTTCGCTGACACTTAACCACCTCATTTTGCCTCCTGCATAAAAACAAAAGTCTCCTTTTCCTGCCCTCTGTTTTGCTGGTGTAGCATTCTTTCCGCAACATTGGGGGCGCCTTGGGGATTTGGCCATCCAGCATTGTTTGTTTCCCCTTCTACCTTTTCCAGAGTCCACAGAGACCTGGGGGATTATCCAAAGCTCCACAAAAAGGCTTTTATTAATACACACAATGTGTGTTATGTTGTTTGGAGATGATTTATGTATTAAGAAGCTGGCTTATGTGAATTTGCACCTGTCCACACAACTGTCAGAAGTTATGCATGTTTGACAGTTTTTGTTTGGTTTCCTTCTATTTGCAGGACTTTTTCTATTAAAAAAAATACTCTGGTTGTGTGCTATTTTAGGCGGTGCAATGTAGTTTTTATACATCAAACTGAATTCTGCTGTGACCTTTTTTTTATGGCCTAAGTTCCTTGTCCTTTTCCCCATTATCAAATGTTGGGATTAGTCGTATCAATCCCCTTAAATATCAATCATAGAGCAGTGTGTTGATGCAGATATTATGAATAACTTTTAAATTAAAAGCTGGTCAAATCATAAACATAAAACTCATTACGGAAACAAATAACTGAATCAAAGTTATCAAACCTTGCTGCCCTACCCAAAGGCAGAGTAGAAACTAGCTTGATAAACCTAAAAAAAGCAGATAAAGAGCTAATTTTGGACCACATGAAGCTAGCAGTTAGCCTAGGTAGGATACATAGTTGAGGATTTCACACAATGTGTTAGGGTAATGTAACCCTCAAAAACATGCTAAATAGTTTTGAATTGTGAAGAAATATTGACCCTAATGTTACTTGGAACTAGAAAAAATAGTTTTTAGAAAGAAAGATATTAAAAAGTTGTTTTTCTCAACCACATTTGTTAAATAGATATGAAAGCTGAGACGGCTAGTTTTGTTAGCACTGAAGGTTCTCTCACAATTTTGTGGTTAATAATGATTCTAAAAATATATGAAATATATTGGTATAGTGCTCATAACAATCTCTTGAACACAGATTGGGGCAGTTAGCTTCTGTTACATTTGTTTAACCTTTTTTGGCGAGACTCAGCAGCTAGATAGGTAAGCAGATAAGAGGTTAGAATAAACGCTACGCTTTTAAATATACTGCTCGAGTCAGATGGACTGACTTTTCCGTCATGTCTTGCAGAAAATGCTTAGTCACTGGCTATGTGACTCACTGAACCTCTTCAGTGGGGGTTCGACTTGTTTCCACCCCCAGCGTTTACGGTATGACCCTCCACAGATGGTCAGCAATGCTCAATTAAGAAACATGTTACGCACCATAAATGCTACATAGCTGCACTTCTTTGGGCTAAAATGATGAAAAATACACATTGCCATAGCGATACATGTGTCAATATAAACCACAAAAGGGCTGATGTGTTCACTTGTATCAACAGTGTTTTATTTGGCCATACATTTCATTCATTCATTCAATAATTAATATACATCATATATACATAAGCAAACAAAGACATCCGTGTCCTTGTTCAGCCATCTTGCAGTAAAGGTTGGCAGTGCATTCTTGGCCTCTTTAACAGTGTCATTGGGTTTCTTTCGTCTTTCTCACATTATACGCTCATGGCGTCAGTCGGGTCGGAGCTGTACGATCATGTGCTCCTGCTGCAGAACATCCTCCAATTCAGGCTCGTCTCAGCACTCTTTGCTCATCTGCGCCAATACTGGATGAAGAGAAGAACGAAGAAAATTACAGAAACAACAAAACACAGAAATTAAAAAGTAAGAATTCGTTTTTTAGAGCATGATTATTCCAGTGGTGTTTACAAAGTTTAACTCCACTGAGGTCAGATGTAATCAGCTAAATTAACTGTTTAAGACAAAACCTGCTTTTTGCAGATAATCCATCACACAGATGTGAACATGTTAACACATTGAATAATGATTTACTAATAAATATACACTTAAAACTATTTCTGTATAATAACCAGTCCTTTGTCAAAATCTGAACTGAAGACTTTTCTGAAATGCTTTATTTGCTATTGTAGGGTGGGAAAAACTCTTAAATACTGTTTCATATTTAAAACCTTAGCCTAAACAGTATTGCTTTTGCTGCAGGTCCCTGCAGAAAGAAATGTATGTACTTTTTGTCTATTGAAGTCAGCGGCGCATTTGAGCGACGTACCTGAGCAAACTTGTGTATCTGCTCAACAACAGCAGCAAACAGAGCGCCGACACTCTCATCAATCAGACTTTGCATGTAATGGACGGCCTCCTCGTCTGAAAGGTCCAATCTGAACTTATCCTGCACCTGAAGACAAACAAGTGGACATGGTCATACATACAGACAGAGGTACAGGTGATGTTAAATTGAGCCCCATCAGTCGGGTGTCATATATTTCTTACCTTCTTCACTGTCTTGTCAGGCTCCAGAGCGATGTCAGGAATATTGGCATCCACCATGAGAGAGAACAGATTCAGGATGAGGTTGGAGTATCTGAAGGAATGAAGGGGAGGAGTTTATTGTACCTATAGTTGTTATTTCTTTAATCGTTTTGTATCTTACTCACAAATGTATACCAATTAAATGCATCTGAAAATGTCTTTCTACTGCTGCTGATTTCAGATGTTTGATTTCAGCTAGATAGTTACTGTACAGTAATCTGGCTACATAAAAACAGATAATTCACCAAAGTGCACATTTAGTGACATTCATTTTTTTGTATAAGCTTCTGCTATTTTAACAAAAGGGGACAGCCCAGTTTCTGCAAGCACATTCTTAATATACTAACAAAGACGTATTTTCATAGCAGTCAAAAGTTCAAGAATCAATAAATAAGGCTGATACAATATTTACTGTGATCCATTACCTGTCTCATGCACATAAACTGTATCTTAATTTAAAGTTAGTAGCTGCATAAAAGCGAGCATTGACCTCAATTTCTTGGAACTCGATACTGAATAGTGTTAAATAAATACAATGAATGTCTTAATGTTTATGTTTATGTATGTTTACATTCTGTATTTTTTTGGAGAAAAATTTAGTTATTTCTTCTTCCCTGTGTCTTTGAGTGTTGCACATTTTACCTCCTTAAGTGGAGGAAGGCGGTGTAGCACTGCTTCCTGAACTCCTGGTACTGTTCGCTCTGCATGCCTCCCATCCCCTCCACCATCTCTTTGCTCAGCTTCATCGGTGGAGGCAGCGGTTTGGGGTCTCGACCCAGGATGTAGCCGAAGTCGATGTGGAAGAGCTTTCCTGCAGGAGAGGAGATGATGTTTTAAAACCGTTTTCACAAACTGGAGCGTTAATGATCTTGTTTATAGGAACGGCGTGTTTGTCTCACCGGTCTTTGTCAGCAACAGATTGTCCAAGTGTCGATCACCTACTCCGAGGATGTATGTGATGACGCAGTAACCGGCTGATGAGACACAGCGAGGGAGAAAACACTGTTTAAGCAGCTGGAATCAAATAACTCCACATCAACTCTGTTTTTCAAAGAACTCACCGCAGCTCTTGACGTAGGTGTCCATCACCTCAGAGCTGATGCCATACGGTCCTTTTTCACTCGGTGCATGCTTCCTGAAGAAGCTCTGTCGGGACAAATCGCGTGATTTTAAAGACGTTTACATGTTAGCAGTGCTGAGATTCTTTAAAAGCAAAGCTCACCTGGATGTTGCCCTCAGTAGCGAGAACTTCAGCAACAGGAACAGACTGAACAAACTGCATAAAACCTGTGACAGAATGGAGGATTCAACATTAAAGGAAATCAAGTGGTTAAGCACTTTTCATCATATCCCAAAGAGATTTTATATTTCAAAGGAAATGCAAATGAAGCCTGTTTGAGAGCATTTATGTTGCTACAGAAACAAGTTTTCTAGTAGTGATGAGATTCTCCTTCTTACCGTGCTTGGTGCTGGTGGCTAATACTTTGTAAGGCGTCAACTTCAGGTCCAGATTCTCTTTCCTTAACAGCTAGATTTCCAGAAACAAGACAAAGAATTAATAACCTACACCAATTTTTTTTAGAAAGTTATGAAAAGAGCTGAACCTTCTGTGCAGCTTCTCTTTAAGAAATACGTTCCTTTATGTTAAAAAGCCAGAGAAACAAAGGTTACAGTACTTGTTGCATGATTGCAAACATCACTATGAACTTTTACTCTGCTGAAAAGAGTTTTGGAGACTTAAAAGAAACACTAGTTTAATGAAAATTAAAAGTACAGTCACAAGCGTTTATTTCTGAAAACGTATACTCGCTAACTTATTCTTACTTTGTCCATGAGCGAGATGATCTGCAGGATGAGCTGATCCTGTCTCAGGTCATCGCCGTGTTTGAAGATGACCGGGTACATGGCTCCGTCCTCAGCTTTGAAGAGGAGTTTGGCTGGCATCAGAGCACTCTGCAACAAAACATGTGTCGAACGATTATTTACTAAACGAAGAGAAGTGCTTTTCACACTGTGCTTGTGTCTGTACAGTATTTAAGGATCCTTCACACTGGTAGAGAATGTGTGAAGGGGATTTATGGGGGTTAAGGGAACTTTTCTTGTACCTTGAAGAGAGTGGCCGTCTCCGGGACGATGCCTCTGATCCGTATCTGAGGCTCCAGAGGGAGAGGGATCGGCTCGATCTCTGAGAGATTCACCTTCTCGTTATCGGCGAGCAGAGACTGCAGCCGCTCCGTCTGCACACACAGGACGCGGTTCAGGAATATTTTCGATACATTTCAGAAACATAGACTGCATGATTTAAGTACAGGTATGTATTTTTAGTTTCTGCACATGAAGGTTTTCTGTTGTCACCTTTTTCTTCCGATTCCCGCTCTCCCTCTGCACAGCTTTCATCAGCTGCACCAGTCGGTCTACAAACGTCTGCTGGGCGGCTAACAGCGACCGCATCACCCGCACACTCTTATCGCCCTGCGGAGAAGAAGAGGAAGTGTCAGCATATAAATGTAGAGGTCAGTTATCTAACAGGACTTAAATGAGAGAATAGAGCATTTAAGTGTGGTATATATTTGTATAAAACTCATTTTGATGTAGGGTTATTTGTTCTCTGTTTTTATCACACTTCCTATGAAATATAAAAGAAGTCATATTTTAACTACAACAAGTTAAAAACATAATAAGATAGTCCGAGTCATTTCATTGAGGGTCTAAACCAGAGAGAGATCAGAGACTATATCGACATGTTTCCTGGTTCTGCTGAGTGCTGACCTTGAGTAAAGCCTGGCTGAACCTCCTCATGACGTTCAGGTACATCTCGTGGGTCTTTGGGTCTCTCAGCTGGGTGTCCTGGTCCTCACACTCCACAATCACATACCTGCAGAGCACACACAGGTTTCATTTTTAAAGGTAAATAAACACACACACACAAAAAGTTTTTCCTGTCAATAGTAGTTTGGACTCAACTCACCAATACAAATAGTTGGCAAGTGTGGAGTTCTTGCACGCTCTGGAGATGAGAAAAGTGCACAAGTCCTGCTACAAAGAGAGACAAGAACGCGTCAGAGGAGGAAAAACAACAGAATCCAATCGGTTTGGCTAACATCATTTTGCATTTCTTACCTCCATATTCTCGCTGTCGGCTGCTTCTTTGCCTTTCTGCGCGACGTTTGAAGGTCCGGTTGTACCAGACACAACCTGAGAACTACACAGAGGATGACAAATTATCTTTAAGAGAACGTGGTGATTAAAGAGATGAACTTTTACTGAAGCCAGTGACATGGTGTGTTAAATATAGAGTTTGAGGTTTAGTCAGTGCTCTGCTTCCAAGATTTTGGCTGGAGCTGTACATGTTGACGCCAATAAAAATCCGAACACCCTTAGAGTTTCATAACGGCCTGCGACAAAGAAAAATAATCAAATTCTCCCACGGGCTAAAAAAAAAAAAAATCGTACTTAATTTAGATCCAAGCAGTAAAAAACAACAGGAACAATTCTTCAACCGACCAGAAGAGAGCTCGAGTCAAAGCTGCCGGTAGTGTCGACTTATTTATGAGCCGCTGTCAGAAAGTCCAAACACTGACCTGTCCAGTGCCGAGTCATCTGAAAGCCCCTGGCCGTCTCTCTTGCTGCCGGGCTCCAGGCCTCCCTGAATATCGCTGAAGTTCTCGTACTTGAGCGCCTGGACCAGCTGGAGGAGATACATGAGCAGGTCCTGGAGGAGGGAGAGGAAGACTTTCTCTTTCTTTGTGTTTGGATTTAAAGCTGAAGTTTTGTTTTGTAATTATTCTAAAATGTGACGGATCGTTTCTGGTTTTCCTTGACTCAATTAATCTAAAATCCTTTAATGTTGTTGTGATTCTTTACCTCGTCATCGGCTTGCTGCAGGCGTGCGACGGCGTAGCGTCTGACCGTGGGGTTGGTGAACTGGGAGGACAGCAGCTCCAGTGAGTCCTCCACATCCATCGGCCTCCACTTCCCCAGCAGCTCCAGAGCCTGCTTGGCCTCCTGCGGCAGATCCCAGTTCACACACTTGAGGAACTTAGTCAGAGCCTGCGGGGCAGAAGAGGAAGGAAGAAGAAGATTTAAGTCATGAACAAGTGTTGGAGATCAGAACCCGGGAGAAGTCTGGCTACCAGAGGACAACGAAACACACCCACCTTTTCCTGTGTGGTGAGGTAGTATCTGAACTTCCACACCAGGTCCTGCTCCTCAGAGCTCAGCTGCTTGGTTGGAGGGTAGCTCACGATGATCTGTCGTTGCACACAAACACAAAGGTATTAAAACAGACTAAAGAGAAGACGTGCTAATGGATACAAGATGTAAAGAAAGAGTGCTGTGTAGAAAATATGTTTTGATATTCAGCTCCCCCAAATATATTATAAGAAGACTAATGTAAAGTCAGAGCTGTTCATTCTGATCATTTGTTATTTGAGGTCCTCTCCTTAATTAGAACAGTTTTTTCTTCTAATTAACCTAAAAAACGAAGCTCCCACAATCATTCTTACACCAGCTTTCTGCTTTAATGACCACATTTTTTGGAAGTCATCCTGTTGACAGCACTTTGAGAGCCCTACATGGTCAGACGTCGGACTGCATCACACGACTACTGTAGCTCCACACAAACAGCAGCACCTTGAGGTTACTCAGTTGCTGTTTGTTGACTGCTCTGAGAAAAGAAGCAGACTGTGCTCTTGGATTCTGGATCCTAAACTTTGATTTCTGGACGCCTTTAAGATCACGGCTCAAAACGAGTTCTTTCTGTTATTCTCTCTCTTCTTGTATGTGATAAATGATATGTTATCACCGTTAAGATTTCATCTAAGATCTGTACTCCTTACATTAAGCTGGTCCCGTGTGGCCGCGTTGGGCTTCAGGTCGTGATCTGAGGGTCCGCTGCGGAGGCTACGAGCCAGTTTGTGATGCTTACTCTCAACCAGATTCTCCTGTAAGAAGACAGAGAAAATGAAAACACGTTGTTAACTAATTCATACAGGTACCGGACATTCACATGATTCTAAATTCATCTTGTTAGTGTCTTTAAATGTGTGTGTGTGTGTGTGTGTGTGTGTGTGTGTGTGTGTGTGTGTGTGTGTGTGTGTGTGTGTGTGTGTCCTCCTCTCACCATCCCCATCTGTGGATCAGGGACTTTGACGATGTCACAGCTGGTGAGGCCGGGTGAGGCGTCGTCTCCATCCTGGGCGTGGTCAGAGTGAAATAAACCAATCAGCTGGCTTTGTTTAACGACTTATTATTGACTTTTACACGTCAGAGGTCACCTTGTCATGCGCTTCTAAACGTGTGAATACCTTCTCGTAGTAGACGATGCTGTACTCTTTGTCGTTCGTTTTGACCCGGGGAAACTCCACCATGAGGTACATGAAGTTAGAGCTGCGTTTCTCACTCTGCAGAAGAACAAAGAACAAATCGTTTGACCACCTCAACCTTTTCATTTTATCAAAAAATGACACTCTATAGTTAACATATATCAGAACATAGTTGGAGAATAAATGTGGCCAAACTTGAAGACCTACACTGAGGTTTTTATTGGAAGAATAAAAACATTTTGATGAGATGGCTCGTGGTTTACTGTGAAGTTATTAGAATGACTACTTTCACTACTTGTGTTCAGACATTTTGTCTTGTACAAAGTTGCCATTTCCAATAAACAAACCCCCCCCCCCTCAAAACTGCTGACTTGTAAAACGACCTCACCTCGTTGATCATCTCAATCTCTCTGAAGGTCAGACGGTCCAGCCAGTCGACCTTCACCATGTGGCCCTGTCGATGGGCTTTTGTCAGCTGGGGAGCGAGAGCAAAGGAAGAAAGAGGGTGGGGAAACGAGAAAAAGACACAAAATAAATAAAGTTTTAGCAAAGTACCAAAATGTAGAAAAGATTTAAAGGTCACAGCAGGGTGGTTGAGGTGCAAACAGCTTGACCAATCATGCACAAATCCAGTGTCCGCAGCCAATCCAGCATCTCCGCTCACACGGCAGCCAATCGGCTCATCATCAGTGTGTGTCAGGAATGTAAGCACACATTTGGCCATGAACAGGAAGCCCACAACTCAGCGGGTTAGAATTAGTGCTCACTCTTAAAAACAACATATGAACTGGTAGCAGTTTAGGAAAAGTTGACATGATGGGATAAAACCAACTTCACTCTGGATAAAAAAAAAAAAAAAAAAAATGAGAAATGAAAGAGTCTCTTCAGAATAAGATGAATAAGAAAAGAGCCAATTCAAAAAAAGATAAAGTAATAAAAAGGACAGGAACTTCCTGATGTCCTCAAAAAAGCTGCAATAAGTTGACCGACATTGTGTGTCAAAATAAAACCTGAAAAAAACATGCACACACTTACACAAAGTACACTCATGTATGGCAACAGCAGAAAACTTTGAAAAAAGAAAGTGTGTGATGCCTTCAAGAACGCAGCCGTACACTGAACAGATTTCACACCAAAACCAGGATCCAAATGTATTTGAAATATAAAGATACACATGGTGGTTCGATTCAGTGATTTAGAGCTCCTGTGAGGAACTTTTAAAGCTCCTGTGAGCACCTTTAGGTTGTGTCAATTTTGGTGACTCCTGTGGAAAGGAAACAATCTCATCCTGATTTATTTCTTCTTTTTTTTTTAAGTCTTTGACATGGAATTTAAAAAAAAAGGCTCTCCTTTAATTGCTTCGTCTGACACCTACCCTGCTGCACAGGTGACAGGCTTATTAAATCAAGTCAATCTTTTTCCTGATGGGCTTGTTTGCTTTTGAAGGTCATACATTCAATATGAATTTTAGTTTGTTTCATTAGCAGATAAAAACTCTTCAGAGGAGCTTTAAAGATGATGGAATTATTCCTAACTTCACAACACAATCTGAATTACTCGGGTTCACCTAAATGAAGTTGCATTAAGATAACTGAAATGTATTTGCAGATATATTTGGACCAAGGCCTTCTTCATACAGTACACAAACACACACACACATTCTGCATTGCCAAAACTAACTCCTGTACGTGTACTCACATCACTGAGTACCTCCAGGTCAGGGCCCTGGAACAGATGATGGTTTAGACACGAATTGGGGTGGGGGGGGGGTTCTCTTCTTTTCCAACACGCACACAATGCTTCTTTTTAACCCTCCATCTTTTCCCCACATCCGCTTCGCCCTACCTTGTTCTCCCCCCTCATCCTACACCAACGTAATTTCCTTCTCTCTATATCTAACACGTGCAGAATTTGTACCTTGGCCAGTCTTCCCATCTGGTCCTCTGTCAGACTGCTGCTGGTGCGTCCTGGTGTGGTGGTGGGCTCTGCTCCGTCCCCCTCCACACCCGGCCAAACCTTCAGGTCATGCATGCCTTGACGGAACATACTAGAAGAGGACAGGAGAAGTGGGTTCAGAATTCTGGATTTTTTTTTTTACAGTTTTATACGCTTTAGCATCAGATTTATATATAATCAAAAACATTTATAAGTAAAAGTAAAAGTGTGAGAGGAGACCCACCCATATTTGCCAAACAGGGTAACAGTGGTTCCTCCGACTGGGACAGCTTTGCCCGGTCCGTAGATGTCCCACACTGTGAGAGCGACCTGAGCACTCTGAGGGAGGTCGGGGTACTTGACAGGCAGCCGCAGCCACTCGTTCCAGCTGCGCAGGACAGCAGGTGAAGACAGAGAGAGAGAAAGCAATAGAGTGTGTAAGAAGACTTACACTTGAAGCTTTGCAAGTTTGTTCCCTTTTTTTAACCTCTAAAGAGAAAATTCAGGATTTGATGAGAGGAGTTACATTTTTTAGTAACCAGTGAGCACCTCATAGGAACAGCTTTAATGTATTTAAGAGCATTTCTTTGTATTTTGACCCGGAAAAGACAGGATGGAAAAATATGTCTCAAACTGTTTTTAAATTAAAATTTACTGGCAAAAGAAAAGATGCCATCTTGAACAGGCTTGTATCATTTTCCCTTTCAGTCAATTCACATAAAACAACACATAAAGAATGGGCTTCATGATCCCATATCATATGCATAGAAAGGTCCGTCCTATCAGGTAACAGAAATAATAGTAAAGGTGCTTCCACCCGATTCTTTCACTAGTTCCTCTCCTTCAGTAAACACACCATGTCTTCCACCCAAGCCAAAATCAGAGCACTTCATCACCTGTAACATGCAAAACCTTCAGAACTACTTTTTGTACTCACTTCCAACGAGTGCTGAAAGCTTTGTAGGAAGTGCGAACCGGCAGAGCGAGAGGTTTTCCTTCAGCAAACACCTGACAGGTAACGTAGAGGTCCGAGCAGTTCTCCTGGTACAGACCGGAGAAGCGCAGCATGGGGTCCTCCAGCAGGGCTTTGTAGCTCCTCTGCTCTCGCTTTCCTTCTAAACTGCCTCTGGAATGGAAGAGACGAGGACAACAGAAAGTCACCATGTGCAAACATTATGAATAAGGTTTCTTTTTTTTTTTAAAGAGTTGTGTTCCTGCTGTAACAGGATAGACTTGTAGTTCATTTTCTAAACTACTTTATTTTAAAAATGCAGTTTTTGCTACAATGTTCTGTTCAATGTTTTGTTCCCAATAAGAAGAAAAACAAGAGTTTGTAGAGCGGACTTAATGTGACTAAAGATGATTCAGTTTTGATTAAATTGAACACTTGATGTGAGTCAGATGAGACGCTGCTAAAAAGAAGGAAGCAGTATTTTTAAATTTACTGACTTTCAAGATTCATGTCATTACACAAACTCTCACACCACAACATTGTTTAACATATTCAACACATACCATACACACACTGCTCAACTTTCTCCCTTACAAAGCACCTTCTCTCCCTCCCGTTCTCTCTTTCCCTTCTTGTTTCTTTTCTTAGGTATTTCATATAGTTTTGTAGTGTTTCTGGTCGTAGTCTGATGTGTGTCTGTTGATGTCTTAGTACAAGGATGGGGCAACTTTGGTCACAGCGAGGGCCACATTCATTTAATTCTCCCTGCCAGAGGGCCAAAATTGTAGAATACAAAAAACGATTACAGTCAATTTTGTCTCAAATTTAACTCCACATATATCAGTGATCAAATATTATTATGGACATATTTCAGGTTTTCATGATTTCATGGCAGATTTCATCATGTTTTCTTCATGTTACCGATTAATTGATGTGTAAAAATTGACCTGAGGGCCACATTGCGGGTTGATGGGGGTCACATGTGGCCCCCGGGCCGCCAGTTGCCCCACCCCTGTCTTAGTATTTTGCTGTCTTTATTTGTTTGTTTTTTTACTGTTGTTGTCCTGAACTTGTCTGTTTGGTTTCTTGTGCCTCATCACCAGTTTGTCACTCTATTGCACCTAATAAAAAAAATAAAAAAATATAAAATAAATATAAAATAAATAAAATAAAAAAAGACTCATGTCCAATAACAGAATAACATTTTCTAATTGCCTTCATTCTTGAAATGATCACAGATTAACTACTCCAGCCACTTCATTAGAATACACTGCAATGACATGTATATGTGACTGTGTGTACATATGCATATATGTTTAAAAAAAGAAGGAAAAAGGTAAATTGTATTTCTGTGATTGGAAAGTACCGTTTAGTATTATTATTATTTTTTAAATAAAAATATTTTGGAAAAAAAAAAAAAAAAATACACTGCAATGGGGTTTCTTGTCGATTCAATTAGTCAATTAGTTGCATCAATTAGCAGAAAAACAGGAAAATAAATCCAATTTAACTTAACTAGAGATGAACCAGTGAGCAGGATTGTTCCATATACATTTTTTTTTAATTCCAGGCAGGTTGTAAAAGGATTTAAAAGACTGTGTAACCGTTTAATTTCTCTCATTATTGGGGTTTAAATGTGCAAGATAAACAGTCACTTACAGAACTCACAGAAACACACACACACACTCATGCACACACACACACACACACACACACACACACCGAGCATCCTGTCAAGTCACAAGGTAGATTAGTTACGGCGCTTTGACCAACAGCGAAGCATTTAAGTGCAAAAACTTACATCTTAAGTTGAACGTTGATGTCCAGGTCACAGCTGTAAGCATAGTTGAATTTATCAGTGTCCATCTTCCGACTGGAAAACACCAAAACTGAACCCAAAAGCCAGACGACTCCAACATGAAATCCCGGACTGGTTATTTGAGACTTTGCGACAAGGCCTCGGCTCAGCACAACAAGACTTCACAGAGCCCCGTTTACAATAAAAACACTCCCACGGAGGGCCACGTTATCAGGCTGCACACACACGTTTAAAAAAAAGACGACTTTGAGCCCCTTTATTCACGGGAAAGACATTATTTCGACGGCTGTCGCACCGGGCATGATTTGATGTTTTTTGGATAGCTACACAACAAAACAGCATCAACCGGAATGCACAGCCAGGGAAAAGTAGCCGATTGTCGATGCAGAGCGGCTGACCAAACGCAGCGGGCGATCGTTGTGCCCTTGTGTTGATTTATCAAGTCTGATTGAAACCGAGGAGGAAGTAGGGAAGAGGAGTGGTTTACGTTTTTAAAGGGGCAGTACGTTAAATAGTGTAAACGTTGACGAGGCGTTGTTGAGTTTTTAATCTTGATTTAGTATTTTTGGAGTAATGTGTGCGCTTTTTATGAGGTTAATTTTGACTTTAAAATGTACATGACAAATATTTACAAAACTGCACACATCATGTATTTTTCACTTTAAAAGTAAAAAAAAGTTGATTCTGTTTTTTGAAAGGGAAACTCTCCTTAAATGCTATATCCATATTGTTTAATTAATTTGTTTAAGGCCTGAATAATTCTATGAAAACTGAGAGTTGTTTTTGAAAAGACTTTAATTCTTTTTTTTTTTTAATTTTTTTTTTTAATGAAAGCATTTTTGAAGCCAATGATTTGTTTTTATGATGTCATTCTTACATTTTGTGGCCTGTAACCAAAAGTGGTTTGAAATCAGAACTTCTTGAGTTGCTATAGTCTTATTTGTTGATCACAAATTGGGTGAGTTAGTGTCTGTGTTATTTATTACTGTGTTATTATTTGTGTTATAAGTGGAAGTGTACATACCGTGCATTATTCTATTATTGTATTTTTTCTCCCTTTATTTAACTGGTGTAAAGTATGTTTGATTTTTAACTTCTTGTTATTTTTAATAATTCTATCTCTGTTTCCTGTTTTCTTGAGCTGTTTTAACGCAAAAATGGGGGATCAATAAAGTTTATCTTTATCTTTTATCAGTAGGTACAGTTGTTGTATTATTCATACTTTATTTATTACTTTTTCACTTTTGCACTGATCGTTTCTTCTTTCACTTTGTAAATTGTTTTGCACTAAGATAAGATAAGATAAGATGAGATATGTTTATTGTCACTGTACAAGTACAACAAAATATTGTTGGAACAAGCCTGTAGATGCCTAATATCAGAAATATACAAATACTGAAACCAAATATTCAAATAAGAAATACAATTAGATAATACGATATAGTATACAATATACAATTAATTTTCAGGTGGCAGGTATGGAATAAATATATTGCACTTAGTTATACAGGACTCCAGTGGGTAAAATAAAATAAATAAATAACTTAAGCAAATCTCTTTTATACGTAATCTACTTAAAAATGAACCTGTTTCTTGTTTCAGAAATATCTGAATTCATTTGATCAAAGGATGACGGTTTTGAAGCCTGAGTTTGAAAGTCTCTTGGGGTGCAGTTCATCCTCGTGGAAGATGGAAGATATGTGTTACTGTAAGATACAAACATGATGACAGCCTGTGAACATTTGTGAAGAAAGTTCTGCCAAATTAAAACTCACTTGTCACCAATTAACTGCACATCCGTGAAGGGCAACAGGCGGGACAGGGAAAATCCTCATCTTGTGTTTTGATGAGGTCCACCCTGTTCATCAACAATGACGCCAACGCGTTGTCAAATGTGAGTGTGAAGTCAGGTCAACACGTAGACTCTGAGGAGGTCAACATAAAACTTACTTTCATCTTATGGAAGAAGTGAATTTAAAATACTGTCACCTGTATATCACTTGTAATAATGCCAACACGGCTTGAAATGTAACAAGTCTTCATACTATGAAATGAAAGTTTGAGAGAGGCAAGTGTGAGTCATATAAATGAAGAGAGTAGCACCCCTGATTCAGGTCCCCTGATAAGTACTGATGCTACTACGGTGGTCGGTATGTGCGATAAAGCCCATAAAACACCAGATTATGAGGCTCTGAGGCCTCCTGTGACGGGTTGAGAAGGTTTTTCCTATGATCTGATACCTCGGACTGCAGATAACAAACTAACGGAAGAACATGAGCTAATGTTCTGTTGGCCCAGTGATGCTGTGCTGCACTGTCAGGTCACATTTGATAGTTTTGACTTTTTTCTTGTTGGTGTGATTTTGTGCGAGTGGACACAGAGCTTACACATAAATGTACTTCATGTACAGTAAATAGACACTTGGACTTACATGTAATGACATCTTGTGATAACAATAGGGAATTTAAAAGCCAAAACATGCGATCTACTCTTCAAACTTCAGATTGGACGAGGTGTTTTCAAAGCTTAAATCTGCATCACATGTTCACAGCAGATAAAGATGAATGTAGAAATGATGTTCTCCATGTTGTGTGAAATCTGCTTCAAATAGATTAAATAGAAAAATCTTGATAAAAATGTATGTTTTCCTCCGCTCAGGTCACAGACACACCAACACATTCACACACTGATGGCAGAGGTTGCTATGGGAGACCATCAGAAGTAACTAATGCCATCCATACACATTCATATGCTGCCAACAAGGAAATCCAAGGTTAACTGTCTTGCCATAAGACATATCAGACATGTTGCTGCAGCAGCTGGGGATCGAGCCCCTGACCTTCCAGTTGGGAGACAATGACTCTACCACTGAGCCACAGCCGCTCCATGTATTCAATGTATATAGATAATGACTCATCCTGTCATAGAGCAGTGATTTGTTGTATGTTTTATTTAAAATCCTCAGTTTCTGGAGCACGACCAGGACAAAATAACCAAATGAGAGGTTGAACGGTGATGAATCATGTATGATAATTCCATCCCTTCCCACTTTCTCTGCCCTCCATCTCACCTCTATTAGTCACCACATGGATGTGTCATTGTTTCTATCTCTTTGGAGGTTCATGCCCACTGAAGCACAGCGAGGTGATCTCCAGAGTGCCAAATCTGTGCCAAGATACAAGACCTTGAATTCTAAACCCCCCCCCCCCCCCCACCCCCTCCACTCAGAACACCCTGTTCCTCGTTCCCCAGTGGACGCCACCTTCTACAGCCGGCGTGTGGGCCACATGACGGAGCTGACCACACCTCCACGCCACCGCCGACCTCGGGGATGTATAAATAAAGGAGCAGAAGGAAGAAGAGGAACCAGTGGCTGAACAGACCAGATGAAGATGAAGATGGAGCTCACAGGGGTGAACTGGATGCTTGCAGCTGCAGGGTTTCTCCTGTGGACCAGTGGAGGGCTTGCTGCACCCATGGAGTGCCACTTTGACTCCAGAGGTGAGACCACAACACTTTAAAGTCCTCTGACTATTTTTAAAGTGAAGCAAAAATGAATACCTCTTTTTGTGTTGTTGCAGCCCTGTGCGTGTTCGAGGGGAGGCAGTACGCTCTGGGGGAAACCTGGATGGACAACGCGTGTATGCAGTGCACCTGTCTGCACCCCGTAGGAGTGGGTTGCTGCGAGACGTGAGTACACAAACACCCAGTGAGGTGTCCAGATGACTACAGTCACTGTATTGCAGATAAAGGAAAGATGACGTCAAAGTGGTGGATCTAAAACAGTTTGTCTTTACGAGGACATTTGTGTTTTGAGAACACTTTTTTTGATTGTTTACTTCAGTGAAAGTTGCAGCAGTGCTTCATGTAAGAAAAAAAAAAGACTCTTTTGAAAGTCCTGCATTCAAAACTGTGCCGAGGTACGAGCGGTAAAATGTATGTGTTAAAAAAGTAGTCTTATTTTATACTCATTAATAGAATATAACATCATCACTAATGTAAACAGAACTTTATGGTACATAAGTTGTAGTATAATATTGAGATAAATTACAACATCAACGTTGAGCACATGCTGACATACAGACTAATAGTTTACAGAGTAGTTGTTTCTATTGTGACATCAATGTAGGTATTTCCTCCAAAATCTATTAATAGAAGGAAATAGCTCAAAATGTGTTAATAAGCAAAGTGAAAGTAACTGAGAGCTCTGCTTCACTTCATTGCTTCAGCAGTTGTATTTAAATATTTTTTGACACTTTTCACTTTTTTTAAAATGACAATATTTTTCACCTTTTTTTAAATTTGTTTCCCGACAAACATGTGCATGCAGAGGTCTACTATTAAAAAGGTGACTTTAAAAACATGTATCATTAAGGAAACATTAAAAAAAAGAGTCAGGGTGTGATAACTGTCAAAGTCCTCTGAGCTGAGGTGGGGGACAGGTTTCAAAACTCATTGAAACCCTTTCCACCACTTCTTCATGGATCACATTTATTCAAGATATTAGTGTGTTTTAAAATAAGTAAGCCTTAACAATCTAAATGTTTAGGCTGCATCGACCGGTGGACTTCCCCGCGTGGTGCCAGGTGCGGGTGGAGCCGGTGACCTGCAAAGTGTCCCTGGTCCAGACAGCGGACCCCCGTCTGCCCTGCTCCCCATACGAGGACATGAAGGACCCGAGCCACGGATCTCTGCAGCTGCAGCAACATCTGGAGGGGTAGAAAACTCTCCGACAATCCTCTCTCTCTTCAGTCTCTAGAGGGAAACCAATCCTCACTCTAGTTTAACATCAGTTACATTTTACACACAAACTGTAATTAATATAAATATATAACATATAAAGCATCTAAAATGTTTGGATTGTATCTCCAATGAAGGAAAAGAAAATGTTAAAGTTGAACTGCAGTGTTTTAAAGCAGATATTAGGATCTGATACATGAAACATTTAGTATATATTTAATATATTTAGTTATTATAGTATGCTTTTTGTCCTTTAATGTCTGATATAAGCTTCATACTAAAATGTAGAAGCTGTATTCTTTTACTACAGGTTGTTTGGGGACATCTTTATACCATTTCTTTTCTTAACTCTCTGCTTAATGTACATATAAACAAATATATACGTTTATTAATATATATCACTGTGTGTTGGGTCTGACCTGTTCTCTGCTGTAACACATTTAACTTTCAAATAAAAAACTCTGTTCATAAAGAGAAACTGTGTTTATTTGAAGAAAAGAAGAAAACACCACTTCATCTACTCCTTTTAAAACACACTTTTAATAAAGTTTGATTTTGTAGTATTTACATCTCAGTTCAGTTGTTGCCCATGCTCAGAGAAAAACAGTTAAAACAGAAAAAAAGAAACACCACAGAGATGTTTTGCACGCATGTTAATGTTGCACACACTTAAAGTTAGATGAATTACACAACTCAGATCGACAAAATGTAAGTGTTGGAAACAACAAGAAACACCGTCTCTGTACAATTTCTCATCAGGAAAGAAGAAATGTTTCTTTCTCTGTCATGAACACACACACGCACACACACACACACACACACACACACACACACAGTCAGATATTAATGCTGTTGGTCCCTGTAAAGTGGGACATGGAGGATGCCAGGGCCGGGTTGGTGGGCAGGATTTTGATTGGAAGATCCCAGCTGAAGGTATCCACGTTGACGTGCTCCGCCCCGGTCCAAACCGTGACCTCCGATTGGTTCTGCAGCACAATGGGCGGTTCCATTGGATCCCGAGCCGTGACGAACTCAAAGTGAAGTCGCCACCTCAGGATCACTGAACAAGCGGCGTTAAATGAAGGTTAATAAAGTGACGTGTGAGACGTAACAGTTTGACTTTAACCCTCATACAGAGGAGTTAGAAAAGAGCTGCGTCCTCAGTAACCTTCAATGTTTTAAATAAAACAGTCTAATAGTTCAGCGTGCTGCTGACTGACCTGTGTCTGTGCTGAACCCCGGTGTGACGTTTAGAGGGACGGGGAGAGAGAAGTGACTGGAGGCCGTGTGGAGGCACGACTCCATGTGCCTCCCGTGTCCCGTCACACTGACAGGCTGTCCAGGACGCCGCTGGTAAGGCTGCTGGATCTCCTCCTCACTCTGAAGGCTCACTGAATACTTCAAGACAAAGGAGCAGGTACACAGGGTACTATGAGTCACACTTTGTTTAGATAAAAACAAACAAACAAAAGAAAAGAAAAAGTGCAAAAAAAGCTGTACCTGCAAACAGGGAATGTCTCCTTCTGAGAAGTTGAAGGTGCCGATGATGTCCTCCCCGAGTCTGTAAACCGTCTTAAACATGCAGAACTTTGCAACTTTCCCTCGACTGTCGGTGATATTAAACATTTCTGGACAAACAAAAAAAAAAAAAAAAGAGCACAAGTTAAACGTGGACGTAAAGATGTAAAAAAACAAAAAACAAAAAAAACAATCAGAATTACAACTCAGAAAAGCTGATTCACCAGTTTTATAGAAATCTTTTATCTACAGCATTTCCAAAGATGCTGTTAACATTTGTATAGATTTGATTTCTCACAGTCAAACGGCATGTCTCTTTTTATTATATGTAACCTTCTCAGCTGATTGACTCAAATCTGTTCATGTCAGGGATTCAAAAATTCAGCCAGTGTGACAGAGCAGTTTTATTTATTGTAATAAACATAACTTTCAAAAGTGAACAGCTTCAGACCATAATATGAATATATTCCATCCCAACTATAAACATTTCACTGACTACATCAGACTGAAGCTTGCAGTGACATGAATGGGAAAGATTAAAGTGTCAGAGGATGTGACTCACGGGGGCAGCGTCTGGAGGTGCTGACCATCAGCATCTCCAGAGCTCTCTCTAAGGGGCGAGCGTCCCTGCGGCTCGCTTCCTCTTCCTCCAGGAACGGGTTAGAGGGGGACACTTCCTCATCCTGGGGAAACGGAGGCTCTGGCATGCCTACAGGATAGATGTGATTTTAACAGCAGTCACGTTTACATGTTTAAGTCACTTCATCATTACTGCTCATCAACTTACAGTGTCCTGTAACTGGTTATGATAACAATCTAGAGTTGATTCACTTTGAAGTTTCAGGAGAAAACGTCCAACATGCATCTGGTTGTCCCGTCATATTAAAGAAGACGTTAAACTTATTATGAGACAAGTTCCTCTCACCTTGCAGAACCAGCACTCTGAAAGGGACGCGGAGCAGTTTGATGGGAGAGTTGACTCGCTGGCAGCCGATGGTTAGTTTGTAGACGTATTTCACCGCCTGACCACGGAAACTAGGAGGACCGTCCACTGGAACCATCTCACTGTAGGAATCTGAGAGGACGGAGTAAGTGTGTTAGACTGTTTGAATCACACACAGAAACAAATGTTTAATGTTTTGTAAAAAATAAATAAAAAAAATACTCAAAATGAATCATTTAAAATCCTATAATAAAAAGGAATGTAGTTGTTATTTCTTGCTTTAAATCCATTCGTCACAGCTTTATGGCACTTTATAAAGAGCGACACTAGTTTTCACATCTGACATTTAGGGATCTAAGCTTGTTTACACGTATACACACACACACATACAGGTTTTACTCTCCCCGGGGTCCAGACGCAGGTCACAGAACAGTATCTTAGGCGGAGTGTCCAGCACACACTGCCCTCGCTCTCCTGTGGAGGAAAGGAATCGGTAGACTTTTGGTTGGCGGCAAAACCTCCTTAATTTATCCAGTTAATCACAAATTCTTCCTGTTTGATGTTTTCACATCACAGGTAGTCCTGACCTCTGCTTGGAATAAGCACCGTGTCGCTCTCAGCCTGGACGTCCTGTTTGTTGCCCTGAGCCGGCAGGGCCACTCGGCTCTCGCTGGCGTGAAACTGGCAGTGGATTTGGGCACTGGCCCAGGCTAGCATTTCACTAAAACACAATCAAGAAAAAAAACAAGAGTCAGGCAAAAGCATTTACAGCATGATACCGTCGGTACAACGATTGATTTAAGTGTCCTGTATGAGACACAGACACATCACAAGGAGTTACGGGACAAGAAAAAACTACCAAGATGATTTTGTTAAAAAAATGAAAAAAAATTGGGTTTCTTCTTCCGAAACAAATTTTGTTTCTCTTTTGAGGTGAAAAAGCGGCTTGTCACTGCAACTTTTTTTATCCATTTTAGATTATGGAGACCTGATGTATATGAATGCCTCATTTAAATGTCTAAGTAAGATTGACGCTGTTTATCATGCTTCTCTTGCCTTCATCTTGCTAACTGTGGAGCCCCTGAACCATCATTGTGAACTGTATTCTCGAGTGGGATGGCCTTCTTTGTCCACCAGGAGGCCGGGACACTGGTGCACTTTTATTTACAAGGCCATGCTTGGGCTACTGCCCTCCTACATCTGCAACCTAATCACACGGAGAAGTGTTGATTCTTAGGGTTTGCGTTCAAATGATCAGCTGTTGCTGTCTGTTCCATTTGCCCGCACAGAACCGGGAAAAAGGGCTTTCGTCTACTCTGCTCCTTCTACATGAAGCATGCTGCAAAAACACTGGAAAATAAATGAACGGATTTCTTTGAATGCTTTTAAATCCAGGCTAAGAGCACTTGAGACGACCTCCTTTACTTGTAACTGTTTTTCTTTAAATAATTTTAATTTTCTTGTAACTGTTTTATATAATTTTAATTTACTTGTAACTGTTTTTTTTCATCATTTTAATTTACTTGTAACTGTTTTTTATAATTTTAATTTACTTGTAACTCTTTTTTTATAATTTTAACTTACTTGTAACTATTTTTTTATAATTTTAATTTACTTGTAACTGTTTTTTATAATTTTAATTTACTTGTAACTCTTTTTTTATAATTTTAATTTACTTGTAACTCTTTTTTTATAATTTTAATTTACTTGTAACTGTTTTTTATAATTTTAATTTACTTGTAACTCTTTTTTTATAATTTTAATTTACTTGTAACTCTTTTTTTTATAATTTTAATTTACTTGTAACTGTTTTTTTATAATTTTAATTTACTTGTAACTGTTTTTTTATAATTTTAATTTACTTGTAACTCTTTTTTAATAATTTTAATTTACTTGTAACTGTTTTTTATCATTTTAATTTACTTGTAACTCTTTTTTATAATTTTAATTTACTTGTAACTGTTTTTTTTTTAATCATTTTAACTGTTTTTTAAAATAATTTTAATTGCTGTCTGTATGTTGTGAGTGTGACTGTGTAATTTTTTGAAAAAGAGGTTTTTAATCTCAATGGGACTTTCCTGGATAAATAAAGGTTAAATAAAAAATAAAATATGCAAAGTTAAAATGCTGTAATATGTCCTCGGCAATGGAATTAACTGTTAATAAAATGATTACAGTATGGCCCTCGTATGAGCTTGTTTGAGTAGTTTTAACAGTTTTGCATGTGTAATAAAAAAGGAGTCCTGTCTTACCTGCTGGCAGAGGTGGACAGATGGGACATCGGGTTAGTGAAAGTTATGAGACACTCCATGAGCTCCCCGGCGAGGAACACGGGGCCCCGGGACATCGAGGCCACCACCTCGATCATCTGTCACACACCAGCAACCTTACGAACAACTCATGAAGTAAACAACCGCATGGACAGCCCAATACTTTGTTAAGATAACAATGCAGTTAAACGCCACTCAGACTGAAAACAAACATGCAGAATGTGAATTTCTTTCCAGGGGAACTAGGAGCAGCTGATCTAGCGCCCCAGCTGCAGTAAACAAAAAGCGGAGTGATTGTATTTCCGGTGCTGCACGACCAAGAGTTAACCATGGGAAGTAAAACACCTAAATAAATACGTAGAATAAACACGGTAATCTATATGGTCTTTCAGGTTGTGTTTTGTTTACCGTCGTTTACGCATAAAAATCTTTATAACACATTTCTGAAGAATAAAAATAGAAATTAAAATTTTTCGGAAATGTTTTTTTGTCGGCCAGTTACAAAAAAAACGTCCCGTGGCACTTTTAACGCGAGGTGGGACGTTGCTATGGTAACAGGTGGCGAAGCTTAAACTCAGTATTCACAAATGGCCTTAATATTTGCGTATTTTCACCGTAGGTTCTAGATAACTCGTCAGTTAAAGCTATTCGTGTTAATACCGCCATCAAAAATGTCGTGTCTATCTTTTAAAAGGAATATTTGAGTTGTCTAGATGACCGAGCACCCCTTTCTACTCGCAATGGTACAGGCTCAGCGGCGACTGTACATTGCCGGGTGTTCAGTATGTCCCTAAGTCATGCTTGTCAGGCACCACATACTGAAAGGCTGGCGGCCAATTTTGACTCCGCTTAACGTCAAACAGCATTATCTGTCCTTTGTTTTTTAAGTGAATGCAAGATAAGTATCTTAGCTAAAGTTTTTATGCCATAACCCGACAAAGTAGAGGGTTCTACGAGTACAGCCGGAAATATTTTGTTACCTGAAAGATCGTGAAGAGGGAAAAATTTTCACAGTGCATTGAGCGAAGTGCTAGCAGAAGCTGCAGGGTTCTGGTTCTGACAGAAGTCGGATTTCAGCAGCAGTGGGATGTCGCTTTCTCTCCGGTATTTTAAATAACAATTATATATTCCCTCCTTCCTTTAACTGCGAGTAAGCTAGTAAAGGCAGCTACTGATCCCGGACTGTAAACAAAGGTGAATGGAGTTCACATTACATGATTAATGGTTAAGGTGTCAGTCTGCGGCTTTGCAGCTAAACCGCCGGTTATTGAGATGCATGCATATCGGCCTTCCTTTATGTTCACAAGGTGCAATTAATACTGACTTGTTCATCATTATATCATTGTGTTGGTCTTATTTTAGGTGCTAAATGAATGGGATCCTTAATACTTCCTGACGGGATTTCTGCTCGCATCCATTCATCCAGCCAGATCTGGACTTCATGCAAAAGTGTGGCAAAGTGTTGTGTCATCTCTGAACACAGGAATCAAGAGGCTGGTGCAAAAATGTCCCCTAGGATATGAACCTGCTGAGCTGTAGGGGATATACGCACTTGTGGACTGGACAATTATAATGGCACTAGGACCTCCTACCTGAAGGAGCAATCATTAACCCCCTTTGCTCCCTGGAGGTGTTCAGTGTTGTCAAGTTAACAACCGGTTTACCAAACAAAAAAGACTCTTTCTCTGATCCTCTCAGATATTCCAAAGCCTCATGCAGCTGCCGTCTGAAACTGACTGTTGACAAAAGGCAGTGGAACCGACACATTACTTCAACGCTCAGTTTTTTTGTTTTGTTTTTTTGTTTGCTGCTTATCCTGCAAAGATGACTTCAGACTGGGGCGAGAAGTCCACTGCAGACCTGATGAGCAGGTACGTCTCCAAAGAAATGGGACGTGGCGTGCCCAAGGAGGGTTGGCGGATCTGTCTGGCACATGAGTTCAAGGAGAAGAGGAAGCCCTTTCAGGCCAAAGACGTCTCGCTGTCCAATGTTCTGGAGCACGTCGGCCTCGGGATCAGGTGAGACCCTCAGACAATCTGCTCGTGTCATGTTGAGTTTAGTCACCTTGTTTAAACACACACACACACACACACACACACACACACACACACACACTAAGGTAAACTAAAGCCCCACATTACAGCATTTGAGCAGTTCCACCTGACTTCCAAAGAGGTTCCCTGAATTGGAAAAACTCTGAAAAACATCCAGAATCGACAAGAAATACCCAAACGATTAAAGGGTTAATGCAATAAAAGGCGTATTAACATTCCTCACAATTAGAATAAATAAGTGGAAAAACCTGTTTCTTTATAAGGAAGCCTGGAGAAATAAAAACAGATCAAAAACAGATGTTCATGAACATCTGTGGATCTTCAAATGAATTAAAATAGGATTTAATGTGAAACAAGAATATTCCTCAGTTTGGATTAATCACTAGGGTTGTGCAGATTTTATGGATATGAAGCATTTGAGGAGAGTCCAGAGTCCATGAATAAAACACTGACGGACAAAAGATCAAAAAACGATTCATGTGTTTGTTCAGCAAAAGCTTTATAAAATACAATGACAGTTTACATAAATGTTTTTTAAATTTATGACAGAGTTGTAACACTTATAAATGATTATGCTTCATCCATGTGAATACGGGACTGGGAGGAATGGTTGTGAGCTGTACCTGAATGACCATGGGGGCAGAGTATATTACAAAGATTTATAACTGATGGATCCAATCCTTTGAAGGACTCAAAAACAAAAACAGACATTTTCCAAATTGATTCTGCATTTCACTTGTCACCGAGGCAGATCTGAAGTCTAGAAGTTACTTTAGAACCATTTGTAGTCATTGTAACTTTACTTTTTCCTGCACCAAGTTCAGGAAATGAACGTGCAAAACAATCCAAATTCATAGTTTATTAACATGTTATAACCTCTGAGCACAGCTTTAAGATTTCTCCCTCTATCTGCACACTCTAACCTCAGTTTACGCTTCCTGTGTGCCACAGCAACCTGGTGTCTATACCTTCGTTTCCATGGTGCTACACCTACGAGCGATCAACCTATGAAGTCAGTTTCCGTTTCTGTACGCAGGCGGCACAAGCAGCGTGAACGCACGATCAAAGGGTTGAAAAGTTATTTTGCAACTTGTGCCGTGCGATGTCGTGCAGATGAAAGATGCGCTGCGGCGTTCCCTCATGAAGCCCATCGAGCCACAAAGTGTGTTCTATAGATGCTCTGGAAAAAGTACACCTGGTGGCCTTGGAGGAAACGGAAACGTACGATGGTTTTCTGCTCTTTTAGGTCAGCTTTAAGTCCAAGATGCAGTCTGTTTCTGTATCCAAAAACTTGTCCAGCAGTGAAGGCAGCTGACAAACACAAACACGATCCGCCTGCTTGTGCAGCACGTTTGATAAAAAGTCACCCTGCAGCGATAGAAGAAACAATGTCCTGCAGATCTCAACATCTGTGGAGCTGGTCGGCTCTGTTTTCCCGTTGACATCTGAGACGCATAGACAGACATTCAGCCAATCTCAGGATTGTTGCTGGACTCAAAAATCCTTCACATGTTATCTGTAAGCTGGTCTTTGTAGTTTTTAATTATTTGTGTGGATTATAACCTGAATGAAAGAGGCAGCTTTGACTTGGCAGCTCGTTTTTACTTTACATGTATTCCTATCCTATCCTTTGTCGCTCCTCTGTCTATTATTTCTTACATGTTTGCTAAGGGAGACGTGTCGCGCTTCATAAAGGAGCCGTACATAAGCTTACAATCAACGCAAATTTCTCCTTCAAGGTGCGCCTTTGCTGCTTCACCTGCTTGGCAGCCCTTAGTTAATTATTACACAGTGTAACGTGATAGTCAGAAAGCAGGAGCAGCAGGAGAGAGAGTTAGAACGGGGCTGCTAATGAAGTCGGAATGGAGACATACCTTCAGCCCTAAATCATTCACGCAGGAGCTGAAGCAATGCATGTCTGCTGAGTTCGACAGAATAATGTGTTACACCACAGCGAGGCCTGCCTGTAGAAGGAAAAGTGGACATACTGCGAGGAAAGTTTGAAGGAAAAACTGGTCAATAATCTGTGCTTTTAGTGGACTGTTATGCATGCTACACATTTATGGTTTAGTGGTGCCTAAAGAAATGGGTATACTCCCCCCCCCCCCAAAAAGATATACCTGCGTATACCCTGCACTACACCTCTGGATATAATGTATTCAAGCTATAAGGAGGAAAGTAAGCTTGTTTTCCTGCAGTGGAAGTTTAGATACCTTTTGTTTAAAGAAGTGTAGAAAAGATTTTAAAAAAGCAGTTTCTGAACAGTACCTGCAATGTTAAAGTGAAAGTAGCTTGAATCATCTGGAATTCTATAAATCATAATAATAATGAAAACAACTAATATTAGCTTTGTTCCAATGTTCAGGTCAGTTATTGACGAAAAAAAAGGTCTGATGCTTTTTTTTTTTTAAATGTGAGGAGTTGAAAGTGCAGATATTTAAAAGTGTAAAAGTGTGACTTCTATAGAGTTCTGATCCGATTCTGATCCTGTATGTACCGATACTGAAACTGATGTTTTTAAACCATGACTAATATTGTTATTAACGGTCTTGGCGTCGTGTGTAAAGGCTACACGGAGCTGCAGTACACTCAGCATTACATTTTCTCACTGAAAGAGTAAATAACTAAAAATAATAACAAATGAAAATCATACAATTCAAATGATTCCAAAGTAATGCATCTGAACTTTCAAACAGGAAGCAGCAACAACTGCGAGGTTTTCAAATTAAATCTTTTAAACTGAAGGGCAGGAGTTGTACTTTTTGATCATACAGAAGTAGAGTCGGTCGTCTGGGGGTTCGATCCCCGTCCGATGTGTCCATTTACCATAGAAGGAGCGTCTCGTCTGAACGTCGTCATGGAGACAGTCTGTGGGCGCTTACAGTTCAGTCTGAACGTCGTCATGGAGACAGTCTGTGGGCGCTTACAGTTCAGTCTGAACGTCGTCATGGAGACAGTCTGTGGGCGCTTACAGTTCAGTCTGAACGTCTTCGTGGATCGGCGCAGGCAGTCCAACATCCTGTTTGTAAATTATCTCAATATTGGATCAAATACGACATTAGATCTGATCTATCCCTTCTAGTTACTTCTGCCTCCATCTGCTGAATGTGAAATGTGTTTTGTGATTGGATATCATTCTGTAGGACTTCATGTTTTTTGTCCTAAAAGTGGACCGTGTGATTAGCACAAGTTAGCGGCATGCTGTGCTCGTACACAGAGTGCAGACGACTGTGCTGTCAAGGTCAGCACCATTGTTTGCGTTCCACCTGACGTGCACAACACCACCAACGCCATCACAATAGCATCACCTGACGTAGCCTCAAATAATCCCATCCCATTCATGTCCTCTTGAGAGGAGCGCAGACCATTGTTAGATCACCTTCCTGTGAAGTTATTGTTTGTCCCAGCAGCAACATGTGGTCAAGTTTTTTATTTTTTTTTTATTTTTTTTGGTTCTACAGTTGCACGAAATCTTCTTCACAAAGAGCAAGAAGGCGTTTTGTGATGAATATGTTTGATTCATTATGTTGGAGTCAAACCAGGTGACCACAAAGCCTCAGCGGTTTGACCTGGTTTGACTTCTGAAGACGCAGAAAAAGTGAAGCTAGTGAGCGACAGTGATGTTCAGTTTAAGTTAACAACACATCTGCTACCATCTTAAAGTAAATGATGGAATAAATGAAGTATTAAGATTCATGGAAAAGGAAATGTCGGTGATTTCTCCCAAAGTGATGAAGTGGGGCAAAGTTTTAGGCTGATTAAAACGTTTTAAACCTCGTTTGTTTTTGCTCCAGTTCAGAGATTTAAACTCAGACAGTCAATACAAACAAATCCGCCAAGGCCACGGAAAGACCAGGCAGTAAACTTGATCCCTAAATACGAGTTAATTCAGCTGTTTTTGTCTGGATCTCGAGGAAATGAAGTCATCATGGGGGGGATAACCAGCGATGACATCCTGAGATAACGAGATAAAGACGTCAGGATCTTGAGAAAACAAGAAGAATTGACCTTTCATCACAGATAAAATGTGTGTCTATTAACTTTGTGAAATGAATCAGTTTGGGATGTTTTTTTAACATCTAACAGTAAAGATATGATTTGATTCCTGGTGGGTTGAATATGTTAATAAGCTAAGCTACGTATTTCAAGCTATCTTAAGATGAAGGTGATTTTCACAAAGTGTAAAGTTACTGAGTTTACAAAAGATGACTTTTTGACATGGTGCAGTCTGCTTATAATTTAAGGTTGGCAGAGTGATATATTGACATTCATCCCAGCTGTTGGTGTGAAGTTGTGTTAAAGTCCAGACGGACGTTTAAAAAAGTGAAACGGACGCTAACGTCACAAGTTTTCCTCGGTGCGTTTGCTCCGAACATCCTGGAGCTGAATGTCCACAATCAGAGTTAAAACTGACTTCAACCTTTGTCTTCAAAGCCTCCAGGAGACGTTCGTAATGTAACATCATTAAGATCATTTTCTGCTACAATCCTGGTGTGACACACACACACACACACACACACACACACACACACACACACACACACACACACACACACACACACACACACACACACTCTCTGTTAACACTGGTCTGATAAAGTGGAAAGCTGCCACTTTGAATTCTATTCACTTTGCCTTACAAGTACTTGCTTTAAGCTGTTGCACAATTCCCTCCATTGTGTCTGTGTGTGTGTGTGTGTGTGTGTGTGTGTGTGTGATTAGTTCAGTGTGTGTGCAAATTGACAATTTGTTCCAGTTTTTGGCTCAAATTACAAAAGAACAAGCTAGAAAAGAATCTTGAGCGTACGTGCTTCTTTAGTTGATGATAACATTAAGAATGTCTCTATTCAGAACCCTTTGACTCATGACTTCCTTTAGTAACAGAAAGGTAACCAGTGGCTGTATCCTTCATGTGTGTTCACTCAGGTATCTGAAATGGTGGTACAAGAAGACACAGGTGGAAAAGAAAGCTCCGTTCATCGACATGTTTCGCGCTCAGCCCTTGCGCCAAATATACGGTGAGTTTACGTCGTTCTCTGAGCGCAGGCTGAATTTCAGACGGATAAGAAACACGTTTTTGTCATTTCTCAGGGTGTTGTGGAATACTAGTGTAATTCTGATCAATAATTCTGTCTAATCTGGGACAAAACCTCAGTTGACCTCTTGAGTTTACAAAGTTAAGGTCTTTTAAAGCGGATTTCGTACAGTGTCAGATGAAATACTTTGTACTCTCGCGTTGAATTCCCTGTTTTAAGACTTTTCATTGAAATTGATGCATTTATTGCCTTTCCACAGGGATATATACTTGTGTGTCCTGCCTTTCTTCACCACTTTTCTCTCTTATCATTGCTAAATTATGAATTCTTGTTTCAAAAAATTGGCCCTAAAAAACATTCTGGCATATCCTGAATCGCTCCGATGAATCTAGAATTTTTTTTACGACCTGGTGCAGGAGCCTCAATATTTATGCAGGCGTGGCGTCGTAAAGTTTCCAGTTCTGGTATCGTGACGAGCCTATCTTTCACTCCCATGATCTGTAGGCGCTCCACTCGGCGGTATCGGAGGAGGAACCATCACGCGAGGGTGGAGGGGGGAGTTCTGCAGATGGCAGCTCAACCCTGGAATGTACCACTACAAAACGGTCACAGCGAACCAGGTGAACAGGATCCTAAAACAGACACATCTGAAACCACACAGAGGGACTTCGTTACAGGATGCTAGCTTTCTTTTTCTATATATATATTTTTTTCTATTTACGTCCTGCACAATAGCGGCTGACTTATTTCCAATCTCTGCAAACAAAGTCCAACGACAACTCCCGCCGCCTGCTTTACTTTGCAGATAAGAAGGAGGCGCTTATCTCCTCTATGGGGCTGCTTATGTAGTAACATCTCCTGGTCCTCAGTCTACATGTATCGAGCTATTTTCTTCTTCTCTGATGTTCTGATCATTGATGTCGTGCGAAAGCTGAACTATTGGGAGTTGAAGCAGAGATGAATCTATTTGAAAGGAGACACAGATAACAGATCCCAGCCTCAGCAGAGAGTCCTGTTTGAGGATCGGGCGTGACTCTTTTTCATCCTGGAAAAGCTCGCTCCATTGTCTCTATCGTGCTTTTTTAACTTGCAGAACTGGCTGAGTGCTTTTTTTTAGGTTCAGACATTTCCCCCAGGGGGTTATCAGAGGGCATTCTGGGAAAATGTAACCTACACATTAACATTTAAAAAGAAAAAAAAAAGCATCCTTTAAAACATGTCCTTATCTCTTTGTTAGTTTACAGTGTGTTTGCGGCGAGGTGGCCAAACGGTTTACCAGCAGGTGCTCTCGGTGGAGCGTCCGCCCACACTACAAGGCTGGAACTGGGGTTACTGTGGGGAGTACGCTTTCTACCACGCCCTGTACCCCCGAGCCTGGACCGTCTACCACCTGCCGGGACAGAATGTGACGCTCACCTGCAGGCAGATCTCCCCCGTCATCCCGCATGACTACAAGGTGACTGAGGCATCATGGGAACTTGATTTTAAAAAGGAGAATGTAAACAGGGCAGCCGGCGGGGACTCGGGCTTCTCACTCATTGTAGAAAGTCTCCACCATTTCTCTGCTTCCTCTCAGGACTCGAGCCTCCCCGTGGCGGTGTTTGTGTGGGACATCGAGAACAAGAATGACTTTGCACTGGAGGTCTCCATCATGTTCACCATGGTCAACGGGTCGGGACACAAGGACGACAAGAGCGGGGGACACTGGAACGAACCATTCCACCTGGAGAAGGAGGGGGAGGCCGTGTCCGGGGTCTTACTACACCACTGCACTACAGTGAACCCTTACACTCTGAGCATCGCAGCCCGAGAGCAGGTTTGATTCACAATGTTCCGACTTAAGCAGCTTCCAAGGTTTTTTGTAGAACAAGTAGTTCACCAGCAATAAACAGGATTACAAACACAAAAGTCCAAAACGCTTTAACGAGCATTAAGAGTTGGCTTTGAAATGACTGTGTGTACCGTTTCAACAGCCTGACAGGATGGTCAGTCACCAGACGGCGTTCAGTCCAAAGGGAACCTGCAGCGGCCTGTGGAGTGACCTCATCACTGATGGACGGCTGGACTCTCCTACAGGTTTGTGGAGGGATGAAGCAGAGTCAAATGTAGAAGTAAAAAAAAAAAAAAAAAAAAAAAGGTGGAAAGAGGAAGTGCAATGGAAAGAAACAATAGCAGCACAGTTTTATAAGACGAAGAAGAGGAAGAAGACACAGTTTATTACCTTGATGTGAAATTCAGAGTGAACTGGCACCACTTCAGCAACTAGTCTCAAATTCCATACTTTGATCCATATTGGGACTTGAACCGGCGACCCTCTTGTTCCCAGCCCAAGTCCCCACATACTGAACTTCATAAAAAGTTTTAAGGTCACATATTATTCACCATGTTGTTCAAACACTAATATGTGTCTCTAGTCCATCTACAAACCCCCCAACGATTAGAGAAAAGTCCATCCTCTCTGTGTTTTCCCTGCTCCACTTTTCAGAAAATGTGTGATCAAACAGGCCGTTTGGAGATTTTCCCTTTGTGACATCACAAAGGGCAGTAGCCCCTCCCCCAGGTGGGTGACACTCCCACAGCTAGGTGTTTGTTCTGCCTTCTGAGTCCTTCTTCTCACCGTAAACAATAGGACATGGAGCGAGAAAGCCAGAGACACCCAAGCACTTCCAGAAAGGGGGCGTGGTCAGACACAGTTCATTTACATTTTTAAAGGTACAGACACAGAAACAGCCTGTTCTGAGCAGGGCTGAAATAGAGGGGTTTATAGACATGATCAAATACAGGATCAGAGTGGATTTACAACAAGTACAACTACACAGACATGTTTTGGGAAGCTCTGAGACTTATTTAAACTTGTTTCAAAAGGAGGAAAATGTGTGACGTCAACACTTCCGTCCATGTTCAACCACTCTTGCGTTCTCCGTTGTGAGTCCACTTCACAGGAGGAGCAGGGAAGTGGGATCAGATCACAATTGTTTACATCTGTCTCCATGGAGACGAATGTAATCAAATGAATGACGCTGTTAAACTGCAATTAAATCACTCAGGACACATTGTGATACCAGGTGGAAACAGATTTATGATTTCCTTCACATCCTTTACTAACCTCTTCTTGTTTTCCTTCCTCTTCTCTGTTATTTCCTGTGCAGGCTCGAGCCCACCATCGCCTAAAGGAGAGAAGGTGGCGGCAGCGTTGGCTGTGGGCTGCTCCGTGCCGGCTCAGGGTCACAACACGGTGGAGTTCAGCCTGGCCTGGGACATGCCCAAAATCACCTTCGGCTCAAGGGAGCGAGAGCACATCAGGTTACATGGACCATTAAAGTTCAACTCTTTAACGGTGTTTGTTGTTCTGCAGAAGTTGGAGTGAAGGCGATATATTGAAGGATGTTCCTCTTGCAGCAGTTTGAGATATTTTCATGGATCTTTCACAAGTTGCATCCAACATTATCCTCCAAAAGAATAAACAACCCTTTCTAAGAGCAATGAAGAAACTGATGGTGTCTCATTTTGAAGGATATTTAAAATGGACCTCATTATGTCAAAAATCAAGATTTTTCAGAATATGTGTGATGTCGCCCTGAGCATGTTTTTTTTTTGTTTCTCTCTCCAGGAGATACACTCGTTACTTTGGTACTCAAGCAGACGCTTCCCCCTCGCTCAGTCACTACGCACTCACACACTACAGACGCTGGGAGAGGAGCATTGAGGAGTGGCAGAGACCCATCCTGCAGGACAGGTAGCTCACATCTCTCAAAGGCGAATCAGAGATGAACTCTTTATTTGTTGGTCGATAATACGTTCTCTCGTTGCGTTGCAGTTCTCTCCCCCCCTGGTACAAGTCGGCTCTGTTTAACGAGCTGTACTTTGTGGCCGACGGAGGGACGGTGTGGACCGAGCTGCCGGAGGATGCTGACGTCAGCGGCGGCATCCGCAGCGAGGACGGCGGGCTTCCAGCTCAGCCTGACGTCATCAAGGAGTACGGACGATTCGCCTACCTGGAAGGTGAGTGACACAGGGACAAGCAGATGAATGAGAAACGAATCTGAGCAATGAGAAATGAAACGGCTTCTATTTGGACTCATTTTAACGAGCTTCCATTTCCTTTTAATTGAAAAATGAAAATGAATCTCATGTTTCGGCTTCTCTTATGAGACTATTTATTTCCACGTTCAATATGATTCTAAACTGAGTGTCTTCTTGATTTGGTCCGTTGGGCAAATAAACAAGATATTTAAAAAAAATCACCTTCAAATGTTGGAAATGTATAAAAATTCAGAAGTAACTTTAAAATATCAATAAAACCAGCTGCTACACGTTGATGAGTAACGCCTATAAACGTTTGATTTTGATCTCCGCCATGTGTGAGAAACAAACAAAAAAAAACATCCTACATAACAAAGCTATGTTTAGAAAAACTCTGCTCACTGCCTAAATGAGGAAGCAGACAGTTTCAGAGTCATTGTTGCACATACATTTTCTGTTTCAAACCACAACATGTGTATGTATGTGTGTGTGTGGTCAGAAGGTAATACAGTGTGACAGTCAGGTACTGAATATAACGTCCTCCTCGAATGCTTTAGTTTTGTTGCTGAGAAAATTACACTTACTATTCTACAATTCAGCTAGAAGACGCTTTTCATCCAAAGTGACAAACATCAGAGAGTAAGAACGGCACAAGCACAAGATTAACATGTAGAGAGGAGGAAACAACGTCAGGAAGTGCAAACAAAGTCTGATCGCACACACAGGTGCTGACAGGAAGTGCTCAACATTGACAGCCGTTCTTCACAGTTCTGATCAGCATGAAAACCAAAATCTAAATATCGTCATCATTATCAAACAAAACCATCATCATCATCATTAGGTGTGTCGGTGTTCATGAAAGATAATCAAATATAATTAAGTACTTTCAGTAACAGTGCAATCAGCAGTGTACTCTTACAGCTGAAGTAAACTTCTGGTAAATAAAGAATACAAATATAACGAGGATTTATTTTCATTATACGGAAACACAAACAGTACAATGAAATGAAGGTGGCACTCCCTGACTTTAAAGGGGCCGTGTGGAGTTTTGGTAGAGAAATGTGAAAGTTGGAGAAATTCACAGATTCTGTGGTATATGTTCATAACGCTATACACAAACTGTCCTCATAAGGAGGAAAATCTGGTCCCTGGAACCCTGTTTGAAGATAAAATGTTACGCGAGAAGTTTTAGTGGGGGGGTCTGCTACAGTGAAAATGTAACCTAGCTTTTTTTAGCGTTAACAAAGTTCCAGGGACCCAAGTTTGTGTATTTAGTTCAGAAAATATAGCAGAGAAATGCTTCACTTCTCCAATTTTACTACCAGATCTACATGGTGCACCTTTTAAGTACAAACATAAAATATTAAGGTTTAAAACAATTTAAAACATCCAAAAGTGTGAAAAAAGCTCAATAAAAGCACAGCTATATAAAACATCTTTTATCTGTGCTTGATGAGTGACATTCCTAAGCTTTGATTATTTCCCCAGGTCAGGAGTACAGAATGTACAACACATACGACGTGCACTTCTACGCCTCCTTTGCTCTCATCATGCTGTGGCCCAAACTCGCCTTGAGTTTGCAGTATGATATCGGTGGGTGTAGTTTTTTATTATCAATAATTCAAACGTGTGTCATGTAGCAATATTGAAGCAATATTAAATCTGTCCTCAGCCGGCAGCGTGGTCAGTGTAGACCCCACAGAGAGGCTCCACCTGATGAGCGGCCTTCACTCTCCTGTAAAGGCCAAAAACGTGGTGCCTCACGACATCGGCGATCCAGGTACGAGACATGATATCAATAACGACCTCAAAGGAAGTGATGTTTAATGTACAACCTTTGAAGCAGACAAAAAAACACGATGACTGTGTCTGTAGACGACGAGCCCTGGCAGAGGGTGAACGCCTACCTGATCCACGACACTGCAGACTGGAAGGACCTGAACCTGAAGTTCGTCCTGCAGGTCTACAGGGACTTTCATCTCACACAGGACACGCAGTACCTCCGGGACATGTGGCCAGTCTGCCAGGTAGTACTGAGCAGATGGGCTTAAAAGTATTGCGATCGGGAGTCATCTGTAGACGTGTTAACAGAACTGGAATATGCTTCTATCACATGCTTAAGAGTTTTGTTTTTTGCTGATTTTTCTTCCAGGCTGTGATGGAGTCAGAGATGAAGTTTGACCTGGATGGAGATGGACTGATAGAGAACTCTGGCTACGCAGACCAGACTTATGACGGTTGGACTGTGACTGGACCAAGGTAAGAGGATGAATAGTTATGGACTAAAACGCTCCATTTCTTTTACATTCAAATGACACACAAATAAAGATCTGTATGAACCAATCAAAACAACGACACTTGTGACGCAGCAGTGGGCTGCTAAGCTAGTCAGCTACCTCCAACGTGCAGTCCATTTAGCTCCTAGTTGAACAACCACCAGAGATATGGCATGATGGGAGATAATGACCAACAATAGTCTTCTTTGTTGTTTGTTGACGTTGCCATTTTGGATGTTTACAAAAGGCCACATGATTCCGCTGTTACAGAAATAGATGCGATTGGCTCAACCTCAATCAGGTCTGATGAAAATATGACTGATTGGGATGGGAATAAGACAATTCTACAAGAACAAATAGAACATGATTTAGCAGAATAGTTGGGGTAAATTAAAACAACAAGAAAATGAATATTATTTGTTCTACTACATAGGAATCCCTCCTTTTGGTGAGATTTTTTAAAACTATATAAATTCAGTTTAAGACAACTATCACCAAAATCTTTCAATAAATCAATAAATAAGACTCTGGTGTTTGTATTTCCCAGTGCGTACTGTGGCGGGCTGTGGTTGGCGTCCCTGTGTGTGATGTGCAAGATGGCTCGTCTGGTGGACAGCGAGGAGACATTCCAACGCTACAGGGACATCCTGGACAGAGGCAGCGCTGCTTTTGATAAACTGCTGTGGAACGGTGAGCAGACGCTGTTTTCCACAATATGCACTCTTAAAGATTTCTAAAGACTTTCAAAGCGAAACCTCAGGAGTTTTTCAGGACTTTGTTCAGGTGTGAAAGCACTGTTAGTAAAGCTTTTGATGTTATCAGATCTTTCACAGTCAGTGTAATTAGACAAAGTTTTTTTGCAGTCAAATCATAGAGACTTAACACACGTCCTCTTTATTTTCCTTTCACATTCAGGCAAATACTATAACTACGACAGCAGTGGGAGAGACCTTTCTAACAGCGTCATGTCGGATCAGTGTGCTGGTCACTGGTTCCTGAGAGCCTCCGGACTTGGAGATGGAGAATACCAGGTGAGTTTAAACATGAGCAAACGTTAGGGAACAGTTAGCCTTTAATCACAGTTTTTATCCTTTACTAGCAGTACAAAAACATAATCCATCTTATGCAGCTGGTTTTATGTTCTTTTTTTTTTTACACTGGGATAGTGACGAGGAATTCTCTAAAAAAAACATGTTTTTACATTAGCAAACATGTCATCCTTTGCCTAAAGCTGCAAGCTACACAAACATTTATAAAGGAATGTTTTCAGATCAGAAAAGTGTTGAAAGCTTTGTCGTCTCAACATCACTCTTATCTCCCTGCAGGCTTTTCCCAAAGAAAAAATCCAGAGTGCTCTTAAATCTGTCTTCGACTTGAATGTGATGAGCTTTGCTGGGGGTCAGATGGGGGCGGTTAACGGAATGCGTCCTGAAGGAGTGGTGGACCGCTCCAGTGTTCAGTCAGACGAGGTCTGGATTGGAGTGGTGTATGGACTGGCTGCCACTATGATCCATGAGGTAAGAGTGTGTGTGTGTGTGTGTACTGAATCTTGTCACTACCATGATATGTTATTTCATTGTACACTCAGTGAGTACGTTTCTTCATTAGCCTAGAATTAATGATTTTTTTTGCCTGAAAGTCTGACCCTCAGGAATTATGCAATTTCACAAGACACAAAAGTTTTTATGAGGAGGCGCCTTACGTTTTAGGGTTTGGACACCAGAATGCAGAACACGGAAACAAAAGTCAGTCCTAAGATGTTTTAATGTAGCTTGTAGCAAAATAAAAGTCTTAAAGCAGTAGGTGGCAACAGAGGATGGGCTGGCGCAGGAGAACTCAAAAACAGCAAGGCCAAACAGAAATCCACAAAAAGAGAAAACCGGTCAGCCCATGACACAAGAACAAAAAATCATCTTCAAAGTTCTTCAAGCTAAGACTAGTAGTGTGACACAGTTTACCGACTGCAAAGGGAATAATCTGGCACAGGAGTTGAGTCTTGATCTGTCTTTAAGGCCTGAGTGATGACCTGATGAGATTCAGGTGCTTCTTGTTCCAGCTCAGCCAGCCACGCCCTCCACTGCGCACACACTGCAGGAGAGAAAGCAGAAAACAGTCGGAGGGGAAACAAACACAAAGTGACACCCAATGTATCAAAAACTAACACCATGACAGAGGCGCCTTACTGCTGCCTTGTTTCCCAATGCCTCATATTAGGGCGTTTTCACACCTACAGATTGTTTTCGCCGGTCCGAATCATGGACTACATTGTCACATTGTTGCATAATAAGCTAAATAAACTAAAACCAATACATTTTTATTTCTGTAAAAAGGTTACTTCTACAAAAAAATGTAAAGGAAAAGATGAGTAAACTTTTTCAGAAATAATGCCGAAGAGGCACAAATGGGTTTATAGCAATTCAACAGATGACAGAAAAAACAAGTTTTTGATGCTACAGATTCTGTTGTCCGTCTCCCTTCTCTCTTAGGGTATGCATGAGGAGGGTATGCGCACAGCAGAGGGTTGTTATCGGACTGTTTGGGAGAGGCTGGGCATGGCCTTCCAGACTCCCGAAGCTTACTGCGAGAAGGGCATCTACCGCTCCCTGGCATACATGCGACCTCTGAGCGTCTGGGCTATGCAGCTGGCCCTGAACACTTCAAAGAAGGATCAGAACACGTCGGCCCAGAACGGAGCATCAGACGGGGAGCAAGGACAGGATCTGAGAGAGTCAGAGCTAGGACCTGAGAAGTAGGACTGGTGTGATTTAGACACGTACCGCCAGTTCCTTTGAAATCCCCCAGGCAGACACGATTCTCATCTACACACCAAACCTCGTGATCCGATACAGAACACAAATTTGACCTTCTTAGTGTTTAAAATGCTTCAAATGTTTTGTTATTTGAGGCTTCAAGTCAGAACTTAAATGTTTTTTTTTTGCCCAACAAAGTCAGTAGCTACTGTAGATCCTGATCAGATGTAGAGTTTAAGAGTTTTTAAGGGACTGAAAATGGTTTCTGATTTTTTAAGTTACGGTGGCAGCCATGTATTATCGAAATCATAGCCAGTGAGCGTTTGCTGATTTCAAATAGACCTTGTTTTTAGACAACATACTGTTTATTTGCACTACATTTCCTGATCATGTCAAACGCCATGATTAGAAACTTTTCATGCTAACTATTTGAGGACTGTTAATTATTACATCAGCCAAATGTACCGGTAGTCATTACTGTAACACTTGAAATGACACCAGTGGACCGTTAAATAAAGCTGTATTTGAATTACTTCTCAATCAGAAATGTGGATATTTGTAAAAGAAAAGGTTTCACTTTTCCTTGACCTAAATTTGAATGCTGTACTAAATGAGATCATGTGTGATGGAAATTGTTTTATTTTATTTGATAGAAATCGGTGCCTTGCTGCATGTTGGCCTATGTCTACAGTATATTCATGTAGCGGTGTGTTTTATAAAAAACTCATGACAATCATGTGGAATAAATTAACTAAATAAGATCAAACAGAAGGTTGTGTTGTGAATTAAATGTACTGTTAAGAGTTGTTTTTTTTTTAAACTTATATTTATATCTGATGCCTCCATAAGACCTTCAAAAACAAACAAGACCATCAAGAGGAAGATCAACCCTTTCTTTAGTTCATTTTAATGCTTGTCATCTCTGGGACTCTGTGGCGATTCTAGAGCCTGTTGGGGAGCTTTTAGGCCGCTGTTGCCTGCCTTGCCTGTTGATAAGCAGCGCCTAAAAGAAGGTAGGAAGAGACATGACGTACCGTGCCTATAAAAAGTAACATTCAGTCACTGCTGAACCAAAAAAAACTACAGACTACAAAAAAAACTATACAAATGTATAAAGTACATAACGTACACTATTAAGAATAAATGTACACATATTGAGGATGGAGGAACCGATAAATTAAAGGCTACTCTAGAGAAAACAGAGGTGTGCCAATAATGGACTCGTAAATAAAATATAATTATAGCAGAGGAGGCTACAGGGCTGGTATTTACAGAAGGGGGGACATCCTTACAGAGGATGGGGCAAGGCCTCACAGAGGCTGCAGAGGTGGTCCTCACAAAGGATGGGGCAGGGCCGGTGGTGCTCACAGACGCCGTAGGAGGAGAGGGGCTGGGGGTCCTCACAGAGGATGGAGAATAGGAAGAGCTGGGGGTCCTCCTAGCCACTAAATTGGGCTTCATTTAGGCAGACAGTGCCCCACCAAGGCGTGATTTGTTGAACTGAAAGGTGAAACAGAGCTGGATAGATTAGATAACTTGGTTACAAAGTAAAATCATTTTTCATTTATCAATATTGAACAAATAAAAAACAAATTTACGTCAACAAGGCAGGTAAGCTAGCTGTTTACACTCACCTTTAAATATTAGCGAATTTACGTTTGAAAAAAAACAACTGAACATCAAGTAAGGACATTTATGTTTGGTAGATTATTTCTTTGTTGTAACAATGCTTCTTGGCAATAAATCTTCTACCGTTGGAAAGCCTGTTTATTTCCCTTTTAAATGATGCCACTTTTGTAAGGAACATGCATTTGTGGGATGAGCAGCAGAGCTGAGTATGTGGGTTGCGCCCATGAAAAACTCTGCCAATGCCAAACAGTTTCTGGAGATAAGATATGATCCGGTTGTAAGTCATAAACAGTGAGTATCCGCAGTCACTTTGATCATATTTGAATAATTCCTTTAAATATCCAAAGTGAAGATAGAAGTCATATCTTGAGGTTTCCTGCCACTGATACCAGACGTATCAAACTTTCTGGATTTTATTTTGGTTGTATCATGCGATATGCTGATTCCAGAAATTGTGTATATTTGGCATTCAATATACGACATCAGTCATATCAGAAAAATATCTGAACTCCACATTCTGATGGTCCAATTCCAGAGATAAGATATGTTCCAGATATGACATTTTCCTACTCCATGATCAGAGAGTATACACCACGGATTTCATCATATATTAGTTAAAGTTTAAAAATATCTGGGTAAAACAAAAAAAAAAAAAGGGCAAAAATGCCTTGTACCTCAGTGGGTTAATGTGGGTGTTCCAGTATGTGGATTCGTTATGGCGTTGCCGAGGCGTGAAAGTCACGGCTTGTAATTACACAATGGGAGCTCTACATACACATGCATTCAGGCATGCAAACACACAGCACTGCTCCACCCAGCCGGCTCATAAGTTACATTTTGCCTCCGGTCCTACCTCCGATGGTGGATCGGGGGACTCCACCCAACCATTCCAACTTCTTGAGTAACACATTGCAGGCGATTCTCCAGGATAACAACATTCAACACACATTCGACTAATCTCTAGCGTCCTCAAACACTGACTGCAACTTTTTCTTTTAATAACCAATTAGCTGGACTTTCCTGAATGCCTTGCTATGTTTACCAACAGATTCCCTTCTCTTGTTATTTAAACAATTATCCTGTTAGGTTTGTTTTGTCACACGAAAGATCAGAGGTTGTTGTTTTTAACTTTATCCTCAATATCCTTGAAACTGCTTGATAAAGTGCTCGAGAGTACCTCACAGGGGCTTGTCTTTATCTAGAAATAGAGCATGCTTTTTGTAGCCAAGAGCCCTCCGTGGCTCTGCTAAGTATGTCACCATCCCCCGCTGTTGCAGAGCACACAGACAAAGAGGGACTCGTCATCTATAGGTAGCAACATTGTCTCTGTGGCGCAATCGGTTAGCGCGTTCGGCTGTTAACCGAAAGGTTGGTGGTTCGAGCCCACCCAGGGACGTCGCTTTTGATCTCTAAACCAAAACCACAAAGAAGTCAATTGACTGCGAACAGAAAAACGCAGTACACAGTCGGCAGAGTGGGGGAAGGTGGCTGATTAATGAAGACACCTCTGCCTTTATGTCACCTTTTGAAGAATCTACATTTCCAGCAGTTTGCCTCTCTCCTTATAAACACCTGGTAAATGGTTTGAAAACAAAACTTCGATATCATAGTGTTTCAACTCTCAACCATGAGTACTGGTATTGTCTTTACCGCAAAAGAAATGTGCGTTTCATTGACTAAAGATCCAAAACAAGCACATGGATGACACACTGATGAAGCACATGGAAGCTTTTTAGGGCACTCAAAAAAAAAAGATCTCGTCCCTGGGTGGGCTCGAACCACCAACCTTTCGGTTAACAGCCGAACGCGCTAACCAATTGCGCCACAGAGACAAGGTTGCTACACGTAGGTCAAAACTCACTCTTTATGTATGTGCAACAATGGGGGTTGGGACATACATGCAGAGACAGCAGCGTATGTGCACAAGACAATCATTCACTGGGGGGAAAGAGGGTGTCCATAGCCCGGCTAGCTCAGTCGGTAGAGCATGAGACTCTTAATCTCAGGGTCGTGGGTTCGAGCCCCACGTTGGGCGTGGCATTTTAGATGTCTTGTCGCAGCTAATGATTTTATGCAGCTTGATCTTTGTGAAGGTATATTAGCTCTGCACTGGGGGGAAATGAGACAGACACAAGCTGCACAGAATCACTGCTGTTGAGGGAGGGGTGTATCATGGTTTGATAGGCTCGGTGGCTAGAGCTCAAGACACTCAAAAAGTTGGGTGTCACATTTTAGTCTCTTTCTTGGCCCCACTTATTATTTTATATTGTTGCCGTTTTCCTACTTGTGAGCACTAACAGCTTGTCTGCTAATGCCAGAGAAGACACTGTAAAATCAGTTCAACTGCCTGATCGTTTCCTATTTACTAGAAAATAAATAGTGTTACCTTATACCTAGAAATGTAGACAACATATGTGCTTGTGCCTTGAAAATCACAGCCTCTAACTCTAAAAGACTTGCGCCCAACGTGGGGCTCGAACCCACGACCCTGAGATTAAGAGTCTCATGCTCTACCGACTGAGCTAGCCGGGCTGCTGTGCAACACTTTGCGGGAAGGGTTTAGAAACATGCAGTTCCCTACGGAGAGACCTGCTGGATTATTACAGCCTTTCCATCGTCAAACCATTTTGTCTTTTTTACTTTAGGACAAAATAGCTTATTTTGCAAAAATGCACAAACATGCCCCTTTTACATGGCCTATTTCAGGCAGGACTGTTCTGCCCTCTGCCCTGCTGTTCTTCAAATGACAGAGCGGGTCGTGTATTGTCTTTCTGCATTGTAGTAGAAAGCCTCTTCTACCCACCCTTCATTTACTTTTGGCCTCTGGAACTGTCAATCTGCTGTGAATAAAACTGAATTCATTCAAGCACTTGCAAAAATGTCAGACATTCAGGCACTTGCCCTTACTGAAACCTGGATCCGCCCAGAAAACACAGTCACACCAGCTGCTCTTTCTGTTGACACAGTGTTCTCACACACACCCCGCTCTGTTGGACGTGGAGGTGGTACAGGTATCCTCATTTCTAATACCTGGAAATTCAATAAACTCTTTCCACTGAGCAACAACTCCTCATTTGAATATTACACACTCTTGGTTACTGCTCCTATTAAAATTTACATAGCTATCATTTACTGCCCACCAGGGTGTAATCTGAATGATTTTGTTGTGGAACTGGACATGCTACTCTCAGAAATCCCTGATGATGGAACACCACGAATTGTGATGGGAGACATGAATATACACACTGATAAAGCCCAGGCAAAAGACTTCCTTGCTCCTCATTTGACCTCACGCAGGTCCCAACTCCTCCTACCCACAAAGCTGGCAACACTCTTGATTTAATCCTGACTCTTAACTGCTTGACAGCAAACCTGACTGTCACCCCTCTGCATCTATCAGACCACT